AGATTTCAAATGAGATTGACCAAGTGGGTTATTGTAAAATTGGTGTCTTGATCAATGCATTCTTAAATACAGAAAAAGCTTCTAAAAATGTTTTATCAAAATGAAATGACATACCTTTAGCAAGTAAGGTTATAAGAGGTTTAACAATTTTTAAAACATCTTTGATAAATCTTCTATATGTACCAACATCCTAAAAATGATTTCTATAGAAATCAACATGCTTGATAAATTTGACGAACATAGTAAGTGGAGGTAAATAAATTATAGGATCATATTTTTTGCTCTATCTACCTTTATTCCTCATGTAGTAATAATGCATCATAAAATAATGACTTATGTAATTATGAAATGTCTTTTCTCCCACCTAAGGATTAGATCGATTTCTTCACATGTCTTAACTACTTTCTTACTATTATTTTGACATATATCAAATAAATCACCAAATACTGAAAAATCATCTATGAAGACTTCTAAAGATCTTGTTGATCATTTCAGTCAATATAGGTGTTGATAACATGTTGATAATATGCTGATCATTTTAGTCAATATAGATTATTAAAGAGCTTACATCTTACAATATAACATGTTATCATATTAAAAAATAAACATTTGTTATTTCTTTTAGTATTTCATGAAGTTTAATATTTTAAATAATTTTTTAAAAATTTTCTCTGAGTTTTTCAGTTGTAATTATTTTTTTATTAATATGAGAGAATTTCATGAATTTTTGATATCTTTTTATGCTTTTTAGGAAGCCAATATATGCCTCGATGAAAGAGAGTTCATCTGTAGAGATGACGTGACGGAATCAAGGGTTGAGGCACTGACATGTGGCATCATCAAATGAGGAAATCATAAGCTGTCAAAAACATCTACACACTCGACGATAAATGAAGCATACTTATCAAGGGTGTAGTGGATCTCAACATTTAGGAAAATCTTACGACTATGACAAGACCTCCAAATTCAATGCTTCAGATCAACTCGAGAGAAAATTGACTCTCACCTAATCTTATTGCAGCCCAAAAGATAGAAATACCCTCATTTAATCACAGTTGTAGATCAAAAGATCTCAAATGAACCAACTCATGAGAATGCATGATCAGCCTTACATGTGTATACCCATACTCTCATGTAAAACCTTACACATTTAAGTCGCCGTTTAGGGGCCAAAAATTTAACTTTGAATGTCCCAATGTTTAATCGGCTTGATTGAAACCACATTGAGATTCTACATCAATCTTGATGTGTTTCAAGATGATTTATGCTTTGATTTGCAGCTAAGATCATTAGAGAAGCATACTCAAAGAGGAAATCGCCTAGCCTTAGTGAAATATAGAGGCCCAAGGTAAGTTTCTCTAGGTTCGATATATTTCTAGTGTGAACAACCATCTAGCTTTTGCAAGTTTGAATAGATAGATGTACTATGTTATCTTTGTATTGTGATTTGTTTGTGAGTATCTTCCTCCCCTTAATCATCTTCCACATCATTGAACTTTCGTTTCCTTCTTTTTGACGGTGAAAAAATTCTTCTTACTCGCCATCGTCTCTCTTTTGAATTCATTTGTTTTAAATTTATCAATCAAATTAAATAGTAACTAACACCTAATTCTCATTCCTTGTGGATAGACCTCAAACTTACACAATACTTACCTATTTTAGTATTTTAATTTGATAAATTTGTGATTCTAAATATTTTTGATCAACTAGTTTTGGGGCTTTCAATGACCCTTAATTTTATTTTATCAAATGTCATGCATCTCTAAAATGTGGCTGCTGTATTACATAAATCAAAGGGTAATATATTTAAATACATATGTTTTAAATAGATATGTGAATGTTATTTTCTCTTGATCTTTTGGAAAGATTGATATTTTATTATATCTTGAAAATCTATATATGAAACCAAAATATTTTTGTCCTACAAGTCTTTGTAGAATTTGATCAATGAATGGTAAAGAGAAATGATGATTCTTCATCACCACATTAAGTTCGCAATAATTGATACATATTCTCCATCCTATGGTGAGTCTTGTTTGTAATTCTTCTCTATTTTCATTTTTGACTATCATTAATTCAACTTTCTTTAGAACTACTTGTGTTGGACTAGCTCACTAATTATCAGAAATAGGATAAATAATATGAACATCTAAGCATTTGATAATTTCTTTCTTTACCACTTCTTTCATGTTTGGGTTTAATTTATGTAGCACTTCTTTTATGTTTGGGTTCAACTTATGCTACATTCCCTAAATGATTATGAATTATCTTCAATATATATTTGATGCATGCAAATTGATGGGCTGATTCCCTTGAGATCAGTCATCATCTACCTTGTTGCTTTTTTTTGTTCTTTTCTTGTTCACCAATCAATAAGGTAGAGATAATCATAGGTAAAGTTTGTTTTGGTCTTAGAAAAATATATTTCAATGAGTTAGGAAAAGGTTTCATTTCTAAGTTTGGAGGATTCTCTAATGATGATGTATGCCTTTTCTCCATGCCCTAATATAATTGTCAATGCATGTTAATAGACGAGGAGAGAAAGGCAAACTATTGGGTGCGGCAGAAAATAACAAAAATAAAATTATCCATTAGGTATGAGGTCTCTACACAATGACCAACTTTAGACCACTAGTTAAAAGTACAAAGAAACAACAAAAAGAAATGGATTATACAAGGGAATGCTCTCTTCAACTAAGAAATCTAGACAATTAATGAATAAATCAAAGAAAATGGCCAAAGAACATGAAGCAATAAAGGTGCAAATGGAGGTCTTCATAGTGAAGCTTCCAAATGAGACATTAGACGGGTTTAAGCTTAAGGGAGCTTTGAGCCGAACACAAAGAACTATAACTCATTCTATATTGTATTTTAAGTGTGTTTACTCAACACCCATCTAGAGCCTTGATGTGAATAATATTAGTGCAATGACTTTGGAAGGAAGGAGAGGTCCTCTTGTAGTTGAAACCCTTGAGGTTGTAAATATAGGGAAGATGAGTGAGATATCCTCTAGTCATTAAAATATCATCTAGCTTGGCCCCCTAAAACTGTGAATTTGGACTATGTTTTCTTTATAGGATCTTGAGTTAGGTAGAGTTGTTTAAGTCCAACTTCGTTATTTTGTATTCATTATTAAGGGTGAAAAGGGAGCATCATAGCTCTAGGTCACTAAAATTACATTAACACCCCCATTAATCTTCTTAGATTCACAACACTAAGCCCACTAAACTAGTACCACTCACTAAACTAAATTAGTACCAATTACTCTCTTCTAGATTCAAGACTATAGATCTGTCAAAAATAGATTAGCACCCTCACTATTCATTTCAAGATTCATAACTCTAAGTGAACCTAAGTAGCACTAGTCAATACTCTACTCAAATGAATGAACTACTATTTTAGGCATATAAAAAGTATAAACGAGTTAGAATTTACTAAAAATTTAAGATTGAAGCCTCAAGCTATGTGAAATCATTTACTTGATGTCATGAAAATCATTCTTGTGTGAAGTAGACTTTGACTACTTGAGGAATAATTGCGTTATGCTTCTTTTTGGCATTCCAAATATAATTATTTCATATAAATAGTTTCAATAATGACCACTTTCATTTTTCTTCTCTCTCTCTCACTTTCTTTCTAATGTGCATCAAAGCCCACTCTTTATAATCTAAATGTTAAGCCAAGTCTAATTGTCTTTTTACAACAACTAAAAATCAGGCCATTTGTTGTCATATCCATGTGAGAATTAAAGTTTCATAATGTTAGCTAATATAATGAAATTCATAGTAGTTTACAAATTTTGAACATTGATGTACTATTAATTGCATCATGTTTGCCCTAGAAATAACTTTCTAATAAGTGTCTATATTTATGACATAGAAACTTGTATAAAAAAAATATTTAAATGTTTAGAAGTATAAATAATGTAGCCTTGAGTGCATTTTTCCAAGTGCAAGGATTTTTTTCATTTATAGTGATTTTATATCAATAAATAAAATGGTTCTAATATACTGACATTACCTTCCATCCACTTTGTCATTATTGAAACTATTTATGCTAAAAAAAAAAGGTAATATAAGTGTTCAATTACATATATTAGATTTTGTACAAACTTTCTATTTTTGCAAATCATGAAGGTCTAATTGGTGCCCTTAAAAGAACAACACAATATGCAGGTCTTATTAGTATCTCTAGACGATTAAATCATGGGTATAACCATGGTGTCAAGGAGAGCCTTGAAGAATAGAATGCCTTAGGATGGATTGAAACACCATAACCATAGGTTAAAACCATGGTATGTGCATTTATTTCATCCTAACATAATAATTTGTTCACATCATCAATTTTGCAATTTATGACTAGCCATTGGGTTTTCAAGAATCAACATCACAGCGCTATTCTGCCCATCCTACGGTTTTCATTTCACAAGAAACCAAAGTTCCGTAAGCTCTCTTTGTGATTAGTAATCTAAACACCGCGAACAGATTAAAAGGGTATTTTTCTATGCATTTGAATGTGTATTACTCTCTTATGGGAATATCTACATTTACTCTTGAATGCTAAGGAACCATTGGTAATGGTTATGCTTGACCGTGTGTTCTGAACTCAACTTTATTTGGCCCCAATGCCGTAAAATGTTTTATATAATTAGTATTTTTTTTCCTTAATTAGCTGACTGAGAAAGGGGACTACTGGGCATCCATCAATCCCTCCACAGTGGCTCCGAGATATTAAGCAGGGAGATCCTTTCCACCAACACTCACCGAAACATTATTATAATTATTCTATGGAGATCCTTAAATTTCTCCTCTTTTCACTCTTCTCAACGAGTACAGAAGACTCCGTCACGGCGTGCATCTGCACTTCTCTTCCTTCTTTCTCATCTAATTTCCCAGAGCGCGCTTTCCTGGTGGTCTCCTTGCGTGGACCTTCTTCCTCAGTTTTGAGTTGGGTACAACGTCGAGCGCGGCAGCAAAAGGGCAAGTGACCGAGGACGCGTAATGAAGCTCTCTGGACTGAAGTCGGTGGAGAACGCCCATGACGATTCGATATGGGCGTGCGCATGGGTGCCCGCCACGGAGAACCGACCTGCGCTCCTCCTCACGGGGTCCCTCGACGAGACAGTCCGCCTTTGGCGCCCCGACGCCCTCGAAACCTTTTGGCCTTCTCCCAGCACCGGGCACTGCCTTGGCGTGGTATCAGTGGCGGCGCATCCCTCTGGGGCAGTGGCCGCGTCGGCTTCCCTCGACAGCTTCGTCCGGGTATTCCATGTTGATACCAATGCCACCATTGGCACCCTCGAGGCACCGCCCTCCGGGGTCTGGGGGATGCAGTTCGATCCTAAGGTCAGGGTTTTTAACTTTTCTGTTTGATGAGAAGTTTTTTGGTTTTACAATAAACATAGGGCTCACATGAATGCTTTGGATTTCCCCATTTCAGAAATATCTCAGTCCGTGCGCATTAGATTGAGATCTTCTGGGTTTTTTTCACGAAAGATGCGCTTGATGGATTAGGATTCAACTTCTTCATTTCTTTTCATTCAAGGAGCCCTCTTTGATAGAAATTGCCTGAGAAATTATTTGAAATTTTCTCAGAACCTGATTTCTCTATTAAACTTGACTGTCCTACTCTTAAACGGGCAAAATTATTTGTTTTATGTGGATTGTGTTAAATGTAATCTCCTAAACCATTTTTGAGCTTTTTTTGGTTTTAGAATGATAATTCTTTTTTTAATCCTGGATTGCTTTGTCCATTTTTCTTCTCCTTTTATTTGAACCTGCGTTACATTAAACTTCATATGCTGTGATCACATATTGAGAAGAATGAGTAATTGTGGATTGCATGACACTTAATTGAAATCAACTAATTTTCAACTACTCTGATGAACCTCCTGGAATCAAGAATGACATATATTGTTTTCTTCTCTGTGCACGACAACTTTACCAATGATGGCCAGATTTCAGATAAATTACTTTGGCAGAACCAGATCATCTCGGGAGTTCATTCTGTAGATTCATGTCATTTTCGTAGCTAGAAAATTCGAATTCAGTGCACCCAGATTTTCATTGATACTATGACAGATGAGAAAAGCTCTAAGCTCTACCTTGGTTTAAATGGTATTTAGTGACGGTTACTGTGGTATAGATGGTGTCTGCACGATTGATTTGGATGCTCATGGATAAGTATAGCAGAGGGAGGACTTTGGAGGGATTAAAGCCCTTCATTAGGTGCCATTGATATAAGACTTAATATGCTTGGAATGGTTCACGGGGGTTGACAAGAGGTTGAAGCCGAATTTGATGTTGTTCTTTTTGAAGTTGTTTGGAATAAGATCTGTAATGCCCCTGACCATCTGGCCTGTGGCGGGGACTCAATTAAAAAAAAAAAAAATTGAATTATCTTCTACCCAGAAATATACATTTTGCAAAAGGTTCTTCTCTGTGTACCAAGAGGTTCTCTTTAGCTAATGAAATATGTCTAGAAACAGAAAGATATTGAATGGTCTTGTCCCACTACTTGTGGTGAAGGGCGTGGGGACAACTTTTCAATTGCGAATCGTGGGAAGAAGGATAAGGTGAACATACGGGAGGCCCTGACCAATTTCTGTCTGAAATCCATGGAAAAATAAGCAATGAGTGATTGTGTATCTCAACATTCTGAATGCATTTGAAGGTTAATCATTTTGTCAACTCATTGGCAACGTCTTGTTTACTTATCACATGAATCACTGGATTAAATTGTTCTGGGCAATACCGGGACCTAATTCTTAATTTGTATGCATACATATTTTAATTTTGGTTATCCTTTTTTGCTATTTGATTCTTGGTTAGTAACGTTTTAGATGGAAATCCAGGAAATATAGCTTCATTTCTTTGGGTATGAAAATAGTATGTTGGATGAACGTTTCACCCGTTTGGATCTGTCAAGGTCATATGTTTGGTGTTTCTACCATTTCTTGGTTATATGTTTGGATGAACCATTGGATACACTTGTTAAACATAGAGTCTGTTGTCAGTCACATATTTCTGTAATTTCTGCCCCATACGTTCCATAAATGACCGATATAAAAAGAGTTATGCGGCAAATATCATCTTCATGATCTAAAGTTATTCCTTTATTTTGATGCTTACTTGGGGTGTGTTACCAAAGTTTTCAAAGAGACATGACCATGCGTTTGTGCTGGGCTTTTTCATCGGGCATCAACTCTGCTGGGAAGTATTTAGGCCGAGCCAAAGTGTATTAAGAGAGATTACTCAAAGGAAGCAGTGTGACCGATAAAAATAAATGATCTGACTAATATGTGATTCTATTAATTTCTCGCTTCGCAATTAAAAGTAATTATGAACCATATAATATATTTAGCCCCTCACATCAGGCGTTCAATACTTGTAACATCTTTTATTTGCAAGTTTTTTACTGTATTTCGGATAATTTTGACCACTTGAATTTAAGACAAAGTTTACTGGTAGTTCCTAAACATTCTTTACCTTGTAGGAACTTGAGGAGACTATCCTCTATGCGATTAACAGTGCCTAGTAATTTCATCAGAGTTGCTCGATCTCTTTCTTTTGTGGGGACTAATAGACTGTCAAAGTCACAATCGACTAGTAGACTATCCAACTCTGAAAACTGAACTAAAATAGGTTAAGATCATTCTTCACATCCCACATGTAACTTGATTTTTGCATAACCATTCGAAGTTGGTGTTTAGGTTGTTGAATAGTTCAAGCTCCAATGTCTTTGTATAGATATCTACAATCTTCTCCTTTGACCGATATGGCCTTTCTTCATGTTCTTGAAGCGAAAACTAGTGTTGAATCGTTTGCGCACTGTATGATGAATGTGATTTTCTCTAGATAATGATAAATTAATTATGAAAATAGCTCTTTGTGTGCTCTTGTTAATGGATAGGAAGATTGTTGAGAATGTTTCTCATGTAAGTGTATGCCAAACTCCATAGCGTATTGCAACCTATTTCATTTAATATTCTGAAAGCATGAAAGTAACAACTCATGTGAGTTATGCACTTTAAACGAAAATTACAGGTGAGAATGTGCTCTTTCTTCCCTTCTTTCTTGTATATTGGCTTAGCTCTTGATAGAATATCCAATAGGGTACATTCTTCTTCATATGCCATGCTTGACATCTCAGTATTCCTGCGATCGTCATAGAAGAAACGCTGTTATGGTCTGCAGTTGTGAAAGTAGATGGGTAATCATCATCATCATCTGAGGTTTCTCGTGTGCTTCAGTTAAGAAATATCGTTTGAGAATACCTCATGTATATTTAAGAGAGAGATCTCAATATTTTAAATAGTCTAAAGTTGTGTTGATTATCCACCATGATTCGGAGAAAATATTGCTAAAATTTTTATTATGTTGTAAAATACAAGAACAAGGAAGCTATTGAAGTCGTATTCATCATCAGATCACATGTCTAAACTGTAGAGGGTTCATCACTTTGACAAGTGATGATTTGAATCAAATATAACTTTGGCTTATCCTTTTATTAAATTATTTTAAAGTTGACGAGAAATTCAGCACTGAAGATAGGAGAAGTGTCTCATGATTCTTCAAAACCTGGGAAAGTGTTTGTTACTGTCACATAATCCCTTGATTGACATTCATGAGATTTGTAGTTGCCCCAGGAGTCAGAAGTGTCGCACTCTTCTATGGGGCCATTTCAATCCCTTCTTATCCTATTGTGGTCTCGCCCATTACCTTCCAATAGCATCCTGTCCCTGTGCTTTTTATGTCATTATAGGATAGTATTAGTCCCCATCAATCACTCTCTATACGTTGAACAGATTTATATCTGCTTCTAGCATTTCCTTGGGTAAATAGTCTCATGCATCTTCCGCTCATGGTAGCTGCTCCACAACGGATATGGTTTTGCCAACCAGCTAGCTGGCTAGCTAGCTAGCTAGCTAGCCTTGTGGGCTCCTGAGATAGATTATTCGATTCATAGATTCTAGGCAGCATGGGAAACTGAAGCCGATGTCCTGGTGCCCATATACCCATTCATTCTCATTCTCTCTCACTTGCAGGGCAATTTATTGGCGGTGGCCGGAGGGAGCAGCGCCTCGGTGAAGCTGTGGAACACGTCCACGTTCGAGCTGGTAGCCACCCTGGCCATTCCCCATTCAGAACAGCCGCGCCCGGGGGACAAGAGCGGCGGCGGCGGCGGCAAGTTCGCGCTCTCCGTGGCGTGGAGCGCCGACGGGCGGCGGCTGGCCTGCGGGTCCATGGACGGTACCATCGCCGTCTTCGACGTGGCCCGCGCGAAGCTCCTGCACCAGCTCGAGGGCCATTTCATGCCGGTGAGGTCCCTCGTCTACTCCCCGCTGGACTCCCGAGTGCTCTTCTCGGCATCGGACGACAGCTGCGTCCACATGTACGACGCGGAGGGGAAGAGCTTGGTGAGCGCCATGTCGGGGCACGCGAGCTGGGTGCTGAGCGTGGACGCGAGCCCGGATGGTGCCGCCATCGCCACGGGCTCCAGCGACCGGACGGTGAAGCTCTGGGATCTCGGCATGAGGGCCGCCGTGCAGACGATGAGCAACCACGGGGATTTGGTGTGGGGCGTGGCGTTTCGGCCGCCGGGCGGCGCCGGGGTGCGCGCCGGCCGCCTCGCCAGCGTCTCCGACGACAAGAGCATCTCTCTCTACGATTATTCATGAGCAGAACAAGGAAAGATTTCTTCTTCCATTTTGCCTCTTCTCCCCCTCCACCCATGGAATACTGCATAGATTGTTGTTCACGGCATCGGATCGCACTTCTTCTTCGTGAAGAACAGCAGCTTAGGAGGAAGGAAGGGTTCTTCTTCGCCTTTTCGTTTGTCTCTTTCCCCCCTCCCCATGGAAGTTTGCATTGCTGCTCACTTAATCGGGCTTCTTCGTGAAGAACAGGAGCTTACTGTGCCTGGTTTTCCTGCCTGGTCGGTCCAATGTCGAATGTGGGTCCAGCCGACGAGTGAAGCCACAAGGTAGGGAGTCGCTGGCCCATGCACAAAACTGGTTCTTCTTTCTTTCCACGCTTTCTGTTAATTCATTTTTATTAAGTAAATTGCATAGAATATATAAAATTCCTCCCCCTAGTCGCTATATTAACTCAGCTTTTCTAATGGGCTCGAACCAGATACAAAAAATATTAAATCGGGTTTCAATACTTTTTATTTTCCTATTTAATTTGATTTAATTTAAGTTGAATTAAGCACGTGCTATAATTATCTCCAAAGAGCTCTCTTCTTTCCCCGGCCTCCTGCAGGCTCTATTTTCTATCATATTATTTAAAATTCCCTGGGATATGGTTTGAAATATTCAATAAATAAAAACCAGGGAAAATACCGGTGGCGAGATTATTAACCACGTGATCGGTCAGAACTCGGACGGCTGAGATTTCTTTCCAAAGAAGTCACGTCACCAGGAACGGAAGCACGTGTCTCTTACGTGATCAGGGCCGTTGATCTCGGATAGGACGGCTGGTAACTTCTCAGACTCTTACCGGATCCTATCCCTCTAAAACTACAGGTGACCTGTCGCATCAGAAGGTGGGCCCATTCATCAGAACCGTCCATTCCGTTAATCCGCTGCGTCTCGATCGTGGGCGATTAATCCACGTGCGTAAATTCTATTGGCTTTTAACGATTTAATAAATGATTATAATTTAGTTTAAATAATTAAATGGGCTGCACGGAAGGTATCTGGGGACGTGGGATGTGAACCTGCTGGACTGGATGGAGGTTTCAACTCTTCCCCGCCATATACGTTTGAGAAGAGTGGGACGGAGAGGGAGGAGGAATCTGCCGCTTTGCGCCATGTGCTTAGAAGAAAAATGTGGTAGCTGCTCTGCGTCTGCAGTCCGCCCGATCGAGTTGATTCGGTTGCTCTCCGTCACCGATCATGTCATCGCGTCTCGGGGGTAGATCTCTGCTTAGCTCCCGGGTAAGTTTCTTCAGCAACGGATCCGTTTCTGTCCGGGGATTTGTGTTTTCGTTTGGTTGAACGACAGAGCGATCGCCTTCAGCTTGTTGGATCAAGAGATTTCCGTCGGTTTCCCATGTCTTTTAAGCATCCTCAGTGAACCGGAGGGGGGTGGGGTGGATAAGCCTCCTCCGCTTATCCTGTCCATTAGGTAGTTTTTATTGTCCGTTGCTAACTGGAATTATCTTGTATGGAGTTTGTGCGTGTCATGTGCCTTCTTTCCGTTCCTAGCTTCTATTTTTGGGAGATGAAAGAGACTGGTTTTATCGCCTGTGTCCACTTCATACTCCGTGGGGAACTTAATTCCTTTCCTTGGTTTTTAGTTCCCTCGATTTTCATTTCTGACATTGCTAATAATGTATGTCGTAATGAAATCTAGGGTGAGAAAGGTCTTGGCAGATAATTTATTTGAAGTATTAGTGTGTTTTCTATGAGCCGTCAGAAAATTTAAATCCGATTGCGACCTGAGCATGTTTTCCAATGAATGCTCATCGTCCGAGATGTTTTCTGTGGGATACGATCAGTAGGACATCGGTCTTAGTTTATTCTCTTTATCGGCTTACACGGCTGTTGTCAACCCGATAATGGGTACTGTGGGTGTCCTCTCTGATCAATATCTTGGGGGTTCTGGGATCAGTCTCTCCTAAGATGCATTTCGGAGACTGTATTCGTTTCTTGTGGTTAATGTGATATATTTCATAGCAGATATTGCTACCTGCATGTTTGCATATTGGAGGTGTCGAGGGCTTGCGGTTACTTTCCACCGAATTTGAGACCTGTTGAAATCTGAATTTGAGGCCCATTTGGGAGTATGCACTTTCTGGGCAGTAGGCGAGGAGGGGCTGGGGGGGCTGGGGGGGGGTTGGGTGTAAGTTTCGACTTCAGTGGTCCCGATTCCATGTTCCGTTCGGCTCTACTTCACGTTTTCAAAATTCCATGATTGAAATGGAACCACGCAGAATTATGCCCATCTTAGTTTGGTCGTGGAAATGCAAAGTTACTTTTTCTCAAGTTTCAAGTGATATTTACATCCTGGGCAACATATTAATTTCCCTATGCATACATATACATATTATCAGTATTTGAAAATGTCCATTATACATGGATTTCCTTCGATTTGGTTCATTTTGGACATACCTCTCGTTGAAAAAAGGTGCATGGTGATGATGATTTTGTGCCTGGTATGTTCTAACCTTGTTAGTTCTTAGTACATAGTTGAACCAAGTAAGGTTTATCTTGGGTGTCTTTTGGCTGGGTTTACCATATGGGTGGGCTAACGAGGCATCAAGTTTTCCTGTTTGATTTTTCAGATATATATTTTCCAGGCAGCTGATTGAGTTCCAATTCGATGAAATATCTCTCATATTAGAGACAGCAGACATTTTAATTTTTTTCCCATCCACTTGTTCCTAATGTATTGTATTTATGTGGCAGCAGGTCAACGAGTATGCTTGATGAAGGGAGTTGCACTGCTAGGGGTTGAAGATTGTTTGTTATAAATTGCCTGCTAGAAGATGACCACAGTGACTGTAGCACCTGTACCTGTGTTGGGAAACAGTGACAGAAACTGTATTTCTGTTGACACATTGCCAGACGAAATGAATGATATGAAAATAAAGGATGATGAGGTATGTTTTATGCTTTTCTTTATTCATCATTCCCTAATATCTTCTTCTCATCTTGGAGAAAACTCTATAGCATTAGAACCTAGACATGTTCATGAAACATTAGTGTTGATGTCGACATTGCAGGAAACGGAGCCAGCTGTAGTTGATGGCAATGGCACTGAGACAGGTCATATCATTGTGACAACTGTTGGTGGCGGGAATGGCCAGCCTAAACAGGTGACGTTTCATTGCGTGAAGAAGTTTCACTACCTTGCTGATCCATTTTAACTGAGTGTACCTCGATGGGGTTAGACAGTTTTGGAAGGTTTTCACGATGTAATTGTTGACCTGTTTCTTTGTATTCTAGAAGATGATTTGTAGTCAATTTTATTTCGGTGGCTTACTATACCTATTTCCTTTCTATCATTTTATAATTTTGAATGTTGGCTTTCGTTCATGGCAGACGATAAGCTACATGACTGAGCGTGCTATAGGCCGTGGATCATTTGGAGTTGTATTCCAGGTTGGTTCGATAGTGCAATAAAATGAAAGAATTTGTTTTTCTGCGATTATTTGTGGGTACACACTTTATCCCTTTTTGCATGGCTTTGAACAAGTTCCCATGCACAGATAGGTCTGTATGCATATACATATATAGGTTCGTAGTGTGCTTTATTTTGAGGCCATCATGACTTTACATTGAGAGGTGTTACCCTTTTGCGATCATCCCAAGCATATTATAATCACGACACTTTTCTTTACAATTTTTGCAGGCCAAATGCCTGGGCACCGGAGAAACTGTGGCAATTAAAAAGGTTCTTCAAGATAAGAGATACAAGAACCGTGAGCTCCAAACAATGCGCCTTCTTGACCATCCCAATGTCGTGTCACTGAGACACTCTTTTTTTTCGACTACGGATAATGATGAGCTCTATCTCAATTTGGTTCTGGAGTATGTGCCAGAGACTGTCTACCGAGTAGTCAAACATTACACTAAGATGAACCAGAGAATGCCTCTAATATTTGTGAAGCTGTACTTTTACCAGGTATAATTTTCTGTCCTTTGTCCTTTGACTTTTATGCCTTAGTACCTCCCCAAGGGAAATTCATTCTACAATGTGTATAGCATAGTTTGTTAAAAGCTTGTGCGCTTGTATGCTTGTTCTAGTGTACTAGTCTTTGATTACTAGATGCTCTTATGGGACTCTACTGGTGTTTGGATCTTTTACAATCCGCTAAAATTTTATGCAGATTTGTAGAGCTTTAGCCTATATCCATGGTAGCATCGGAGTGTGCCACAGAGACATCAAACCTCAAAATCTTCTGGTAAACTTTACATACCCGCCAATTTAGATTCCTGTATGTGTAATAGTTCAGTATAATTGATATGCTTTTGAGTGTCTTTATCTAGTGACTTACCACGAACGAATATTGCTCGATCAGGTTGACTTATGTGCTTTCTTTCTTCTTTGAGCAGGTCAACCCACATACCCACCAGCTGAAAATATGTGACTTTGGAAGTGCAAAAGTTCTGGTACGTACACAGACCCTAGTGATGAACTCTCACTTGTTCAATGATACTTAATGCATGGTACCCGTGTTCTTCTACTATGTAACAGGTAAAAAGAGAGCCGAACATATCGTACATCTGCTCTAGGTACTACAGAGCTCCTGAGCTAATTTTTTGTGCCACTGAATACACTACGGCCATTGACGTTTGGTCTGCTGGTTGTGTTCTTGCTGAGCTCCTCCTTGGACAGGTAGAGTCGTGTGAATTGTCAATTTCTGAGTAGATGATGCAATTTTCTGGGAAAATGGGTGAGTCAAAGGTGAACTTTCTGTTTATCACAGCCTCTCTTCCCTGGAGGGAGCGGAGTGGACCAGCTAGTTGAAATCATCAAGGTAAGCAACTCTTCTTCGTGATTATCTGAGTAGATTGTTGGCATTCTCTTTGCATGCTGTTCAGGTTGTGCTCTTCTGCAGGTTCTTGGCACTCCCACCAGAGAAGAGATCAGATGCATGAATCCTAATTACACAGAATTTAATTTTCCACAGATTAAAGTCCACCCCTGGCACAAGGTACACGAGCATCAGCCACCATTTTTGTGGGGCCCCTCTGCTTTGGCTTTTCCGCTGGGTCCTTGACAGCCTTTGAATGACATCTTTCTTCCAGATATTCCCCATGCGGACGCCACCTGAAGCTGTGGATCTTGTCTCCCGGCTCTTGCAGTACTCGCCAAACCTCCGATGCACTGCAGTAAGCAGATTGTGTCTCGAGAATAATTCTATTTATGGAAGGCTTCTGATATGGCAGCTTACTTGCAGCTGGAGGCATTGGTTCATCCTTTCTTTGATGAGCTCCGTGACCCAAACACCCGTCTGCCCAATGGAAGATTCCTACCTCCCCTCTTCAACTTCAAGCCGCACGGTATCAGACGCTGCTCTATTCTCTCCTTCTCTGTGCTTCTCTCCGGCACTGGCCTTTGAAAAAGATGTGATCTTCTTCTCTCCTGCTGCTGCTGGTGGTGCTCAGAACTGAAGGGAGTGCCGATGGAGATCTTGATGAAGCTGGTCCCGGAGCACGGGAGAAAGCAGTGTGCATTCCTAGGCTTTTGAGCTACTTCTAGTCTCCTCTCCTGCGGATGGCCCTCTGTGACATGCCCATCGTCTTCTTCCTCGGAAGATCTTCTCTCAAGTTTTGCCATATAGACTGTAAAAAATTATACAAGATGGAGGAGACAGAGTGATTCTCATGTACTCGGTTCAATTGATTCTCCAGCACTGAATTGATTCGTGGTCCAGTTCCGTGGTGATCTTGGGAATTGCCAGACGGTAATACCAGTCTTCCTTATCGATCGTCATTGGGACAATAGAAGATTGGTAAAGATGGTGAGGATTGATTACGAAGGAAGTAGGATGAGGAAACTGGGGGTTGCTTATTTATGGCCACAGGCCATAAATCCATCTTCATTAGACCTGGCCGCCATGGAGCATTCGGCCCGCGGAGGCCACTCAATGGGTGGGAGGGGGGACATCTCGCGGTTGCTGCCGCCGGCTGGATCGGGAATTCCAAGATCCTTGAGACTGTTCTTCGCGATCTTCGCCGGATCGAGCGTACTCACGCTGGTTTTCGTCTCCGAGATTTACAGGCCTCCCCTGCCGTTCCTCGCCAGCATCTACAGGGATTCCACACCGCAGAACTCGAAGAACGGTCAGTTCACGTCCCGCCTCTCTTCCTGCCCCAACCTTGACGATTATTTTACCAGATCGGATCATCAATTCGAACTGGATCTGTACGAAACTGCGCCAGGAACTTGGCCCCCTGAGCCAGTCGCGTTTCCGCTCCGAAATTCGACTATCCTTCCTCTCTGGTACCTACACGACTCCGGCAAACAGTCTTCCGCACCTGCGACGTAGGAATTGGGGAACAGGATCGCCGGCCAAGCCTACAGTTGACGCATAGACAGATTATACAGGGATTTTGGCGCACATAGCCACATCTAGGAGGATCTATTGACGGAATTTCCCTGCCGATCGATTTCTTCGTCACTTATCAACGAGTTTGTTTCCAATATTCTTAGGCCGGGATCGAGACTCGGAGAGCTTCACGCCATCATCCAGCGGGATTACGCAGGAGATCAGTGTGAGTACTCTACCATAAGATCTGCCAAGTTCTCAGTTCAATGAAGTCACCTTGCATACAATCATATATTCTACCATATTCATTCCTAGTACTGAACGAAGCAGAAAATGGGAACATTTTAAATAATTTAAGCATTGTTAAAATCCGAGAATCGAACATCTGAATCTCATTGTATTGTGGAGTTCTAAGAAAAACTGTAAATCAGTAAGTATTTTTCAGAGAGAAGTAAGTTTTAATCATTAAATTTTCTAGATTTCTGTAAGTTGATTTGAGAAAACTGCAAAACTCTGAATGTAGTAGTTCTTTTTTAGGAAGCATGAATTGGAAGAAAAAAAAATTGAAATTTATCCCTAGAACTTCAGTAATTTTGAAGATCATGCAAAGTTCTTATTTTCAATTTTTTTCCGGATATGCCAAAGTTTCACTTCGTGTTAACATACGGAAACCAGTCGATAACCATCGATCATCACTTCGGGTTTCCATACGCGATGAAATCCAACTGAAAAAGAAAAACTTTCCTAAATAAAACAAGATCACCCATAATTTCTGTCTCGAGAAGATTAATCAACTTCTCCGTAATTTCTGCCCGAGATTGATGGCAAGAGTAAAATCTCTTCTTCATGCAGAAAGATGCATCGCCACCAGCAGCAGTTGCCCCGTCGATACCGACCGCTACACCAGCCTCCGGCTTAGGGAAGGTCTCTGAAAGTTGGTCTTGGAATGCATACGAGAATGCTCCGTCTTCCAGTGAGATTCACGATAAGCTTCTTGGCGGCCTTCTCTCTGCCGAGTTCGACGACAGCTCTTGCGTGAGCAGGTACCGATTGGCAGCTTATCGCAGGGCTTCCCCATATAAACCATCCCCAGAGCTCGTCAAGAGTCTAAGGAGATTCGAAACCCTGCACCGGAGATGCGGCCCTCACACAGCAGCCTACAGCAAGTCCGTTCCTCAGTTGGAGTCCCACAGCGGAAGCCATGCAGAGTGCAAGTACTTGATATGGGGACCCGCGAATGGACTGGGGAATATGATGATAAGCCTCGCATCTGCCTTCCTCTATGCTTTGCTTTCTGAGAGGGTGCTGCTCATTGACAGGAGCAGGGATCTCCACGCCCTCTTCTGCGAACCCTTCCCCGGGAGCAGCTGGCTCCTCCCTCCGGACTTCCCTCTGAGACCCAGCTCCATCTTCAACGATAGCGATGGCCGGAGGCTTGGAAGAATTCTGAGGAAGAAAAAGAGTACTGCTACGGGGTTGGTTTACGCCCATTTGTCCCACGACTACGACGACTACGACAAGAGATTCTTCTGCGAATCATCTCAGAGCTTCCTCCGGGAGATTCCCTGGGTGGCACTTAGATCCGACCAGTACTTCTCCCCAGCTCTCTTCCTCAACCCAGCCTACGAGCGGCGGCTGAGCAAGGTTTTCCCCAGGAAAGACACAGTCTTTCACCATTTGGGCAGATACCTCTTCCACCCCGCCGACGCAGCCTGGGAAGTGATTACTGGTTACTACCATGATAATCTTGCTAGAGCGACAGTGAAGCTGGGGGTCCAGATTCGTACCCACTTCAAGGGAAGTATCCCCGTTGAGCTCGTGACACGCCAAATCTTGAACTGCACTTGGACGGAGAACCTGCTACCTAAAATCCCCAGCCCTGAGGGAAGACCGTCCTCCATAGCCGTCATCGTGACTTCTCTCTACTCCGTGTTTCTCGGAGCGCTCGAGGACATCTACAGTGGACGTGCTGCATCCACCGGGGTGAACGTCAGCTTCCACCAGCCGAGCCACGAGGAGCAGCAGCAGACGGGGAGCGAAGCGCATGACGTGAAGGCGTTGGCGGAGATATATCTTCTTAGCACCGCAGATGCCCTGGTAACCAGCGCATGGTCGACCTTCGGGTACGTCGCTAATAGTCTAGCAGGGAAGACCCCGTGGATATTGATCAGTCCGAGACGCCTACCTGCCTGCACCCGGGGGGCGTCCATGGAGCCGTGCTTCCACTTCCCCCCCAACTACGACTGCGCAGTAGGAGGCTTCCTCGAGACGACGACGGTCCTCCCTTACACGACCAATTGCAGAGACAGAATTTCGGGGTTGCAGATGGTAGATGGAAGACCAACATGAAGTCTCTCGTCGTAGAATCTCAGTGTTTGCAAGATGAAACTACGGACATGATATCAGGATATAAAGCAATATACAAGAATAATTCATTCAAAGCAAGACTATACTCACTTTAAGAAATTAGTAGGGCTCCGTAGAAGAATCTGTTAATCGCTGATTGACCAAGAAATGGGCAAGTAATCGTCCAAATTGTCTCATATTAGTAGCCGAACCAGGATTTGACTTGGGTCGGCCAGTTGGGTATTATAATCGAAATGTGGACCTCAGGAAAGTTAGAACCCGGGGGGTTCCCTGATGTGTGAAAGTCGGATAAGGTGGAGCTGTCCCATACGAAAATCCGCCAATGCACTTTTCATCTGTTTTAAAAGACGTCTTGAATTCATTTGAATGACCAAGGTGTGCTGTTTTTCTTCAGTGTAATAATGTCTACTAGTATTGCTTTTACATCTAACGGTAGATAATGCGAACTTATATAATAATAGATGATCCAATGGTAGATCTGAGCTCAGGAGTCGGAGAGTGTGGAGAGTCACATACCCGACGAGAAGGGAACTATGGCCCTTTTCCAAATCTGCATTGTCTGTAATTTACCTTCCATTTTGATACTTCTTTCGAATTGGATTAGGGAACAGAAGGACCATTTATGATGGCAACTTATTAACCTTGAGAATCATATTTAAATCCCTTATGTAGGTAATGAATTGAGGTTTAACATTCAAATTTAAAAGGGACCATATTACATGGTCTCCCTTAAAAGAATCAAGAAATTTGAAGCATTCACCATCATGGAAACAACACGAAATATAGTGTGAGAAAGTGTGCATACCAATAACATCAAACAAACCTATCAGTAATAGATATTTCGTTCCTTTAACAGATTTCTCTATGTCCATTGATTCAAGCAATGTGAATTCAAGAATTGTCTAAATCATTCCTTATTGACTCAATGATTAAGGATCTCAAGTCAAATGAATTCAAGCCCTGATTTCCATTCTTCTATTACTTCATGTCATGCTACCTTGAGACACTAATAGTCATATATGTTAAAAAGCAATGAGATATGTTTATAAACGAGCCATATCTCAATATCTTTAACTATAAACTTGAATTATTTTATGATGAATAAAATAGATGATCGTAACCATGAAAAAAATCACGACAGTATAAATCCTTTCATCGCAATAATATTCCAGCTATGAAATCTTTAAAGCATCAATTAGTAGGAGAAATTAATAAAATAATAGCAAAGTGCCAAGGTTCTGGTGGGAATTAAAATGAAAGGGGAGAGTGAGTTATTTCATTATGCTAGAATGATATTATGCACATTATGTAACAATAAAAATCACTTGACACTAATATATAAGATTAATGTGGTCAACTTTTATCCCTACTCCACACCCTAGACCTCTGCCTGAAATTTTCTTTGTCATCAGAAACCTACTCCAAAGATTTTGTAACATGTGAAGTTAACTTTTGGAATCAGATGATGCATAGCCAAATCTAAAATAAAATTAATTCAAAAAATTAAAAAATTCTTGGAATGCCAAAGGAAAAATTTGGTTTTACTGATTACTTAAACCATGAATAAATTTCCTAAGCACTTGTCAACTTCTGAAGATAAGAGTTTCAAGATCTTAAGGATTAGGGTGGAAGCATACTCATCTAAGGGCTATCAGAAAACTCATTTTTTCAGCCTTTTCTAGTCAAACATATAGCATGTCTAAGTCAATTAATACTATAGTAAAAAGAAATCAAGTCTAAAAGTTATGGTTAATTCAAGCCCCTAATGTATTTTTTGGTTAACATGTATATCAGATATTGAATGACAATGTTGATTGGTAACACAATTTGTGTATGTGTCTACACCTATGTTGATCTTCTATTTTATATGTGATGATGTTTGATGTTGAACTCTCTAAGCTGTCTCATTCCACATGTAGTAGATTTATGATTTCACCAAATTGCATTGACTCTTTAATTGGATGAGCCATTATTTGAAAATGATGTTTGTTATATTATATCTTATGAGTCAGCTTCTACTGATATACAACTTGTTAGATTCTATATTGCAGCACATCACCAAGAAGGGGATAAATTAATCAAGTCCTAATTTTTTATGTTCTCTCATTTCTTCTCTCTTCTCATTTCTTAGGTCTAAATGGTTGGATGAAAATTTGAGACTTTGTTTTTATAATGGTTTAATCAATAAGCCCAGTCCACTTTCTAAGTACCTCATACGCCAATATTTCCTTGGGTCCACTAAATTCTTATTCAAATACATGCTAAATTACAAGCTAAAATATTGATTTAATAGCACCTACTAAATCAAAATGGAACCTTACAACCATATTCTAGATTCATGGCTCTAGGGGGCCAAACTAGATGAGACCCACTCCTCTCTTCCACATTCACATCTCCAGGGGGCCAAACAAGATTAGTACAAGTTCCTAAACTCTAGATTTAGATGAGTCTTAAGTGTAAACACAATCTAAATACATAGTAAATATATTACTTTTCAAAGAGTTCAGCTCTATGTATAGTAGAGGCTCTTTATCCTCCAATTTTCTTGTTGAGAAGCTTGGTGTGATGGAGGAATTCTAAATCTTGAGTGGTAGAATATTTCATGGTTTTCAAGAGCTCATGCTTACAAAAATCTAGCATAGACTCCTTGTAGGAAGGTCCTGAACAATGTAACTCTTTATAAGTTCCTTCATAAATTTTCTCTCTAAATCTTACTCTCACACTTACACTTGAAGTGAGCATGTCTCTTCTTTGTATAAAGAGTGCATTGTTGTCATCATCTATACAACTTAGGCTCCTAAAGCTTTCAACAATTTCCAAGTTAAATCTTAAGATGAAGAATAAGATATAACATATGCAAATTATATGATATTATCAAATTTTAGTATTTTAGATAAAATCAATTTAATTAATTGAAGAATAAAAAAATCATTTAAATGAAATACCATTAATATCTTGAATTAAAACTTAATTTCATTGATAGCTTGGATTAAAACTGAATTTCGTTGATACCTTGAATTATTGATGAATTTTTTGCTAAGCCTCATTAGATGACTTAATAAAATGATGTATCTATACCTTATATGTCCCTTTATGATTGGCATGATAACCGTTTTAAAATAAATTACCAAAATAAATTTAGTAGATATCCCTGTAAGATACTAACTTACTGGGTTATGAAGTGTGGATCAACCCATCTAACTAAACCCAATTGATTATTAAAGGGTAATATATTAAGGCATATCATGTGTAGGTTCTTCAACCAAAGAATATTTTCAAACATACTACCTTATGTGAGGTATGACATGTTTGAGTCAATAACTTTCAGATGTGGAAAAGTACATGACAAAGATAAAATGTTTCTTTTGTAAAATTATAGCACAACTTTCTTTTTCTATAACAATACTAGTTAGTACTGATTATGAAAAGAATATCTGACAAAATCCAAGATTGTACTTGTTGGCGTTTTGGAACTTGTCAAGTTTTAATCATGAAGTAATAGGTAGAAGGATAAAAAATAGGTTAACATTTCAAAAAGTAAGCCAAGCATTTTGAAAAAATATTTTTAGAATATTTCTAAACCCTTTGAAAGGTACTGAGATTTTGAGACTAAATGCATGACCTAGAGTGTATCTTTCTATTTACAGGAAGGGAGTTGACTTGAGAACAGTCACCTAATTACATGAGTTTTTCAAAGACAACATAGAACAGTAACATGATGATTTAGTGCGTCAACATCTCTTAGCACTACACTTATTGGTATTCTTTATTCACCTCTTTTATTCTCATAAATGGCCAAGTATGTGAGACAGCTCATATAATAAGAAAATATTGAAATCTAATTTATCACTTAATGAATTGACTCATTTAGGATGAACCAACCTAAAATTTGAAGGAGATAGGAGGGTAAAATGGTAATCTTATGTCATAAAAAAATATTCTCTCATACCCCATGATGGCATTTTCCTCACTACTCTCATCATTGCCTTCTACCATCATGTCTTGCTTACACAAAAAAAGCTTACATTCTACTATAGTAAGGAGCTTAGTTGGTAGACTATTGTCGACCTACAAACATTGAAATAGCCTTTGTTTTACTCCTTAAAAATGCCACAACCAATTTCCCAGGCAAAACCTCACACCTAAAAACTTTTGACATTTATGAAGGACCTTGATTCATTGACCCAAAAAAATTTACGCTAACAAAAAAAATTATAGCTGTTGAACTTAACGAGAACCAAATGCCCAAAAATCCATATCATTCAAAAATAAGATTTTTATAGATATAAATTAGATGAACTATCAAACTATGAATCATCTAATAAACTAGATAATCGTATTTTTATATATTTTTATACTTGACTTCAACATAAATATCTACCAAAGTGGTAAAAAAATGTAGAGCAAAAGTAATAAAAAATCAAAAAGAAAAAATATTCTTCTTCTAAGTTGACTAAACATCATCTTTATTCATCAAACTTTCAACAACCTTCAATACCTTTTCCAAATCATATCTCTGGACTAACTGATAATGTTTTTCACTGAAGAGAATGAAAATATACCTGATTATTTGGGTACACAGTTCAAGAATATTATTAACACTACGGCCAAGTATATGGCCTTAGATAATGGTTTTAGTCCCAACTAGGGCATTCAAAGAGCTAAGAAGAGTGATCAGTTGACCTTCTTGTGTGCCCTATAAAACATTTTGCAAGGTTGAAGAAAAGCTTTGAGATTTATCGTAGTTGATAACTATGTCACATCTGGTTCGTGTGCAGTCGAACCCATGAGGCTGGAAGTGGGCTTTCAGGCTTCTAGGATTTGCCTAATCCATCAGTTGAAGGCCTTTTTTAAGGCGCATCACAAATACTACCAACAGTTGCCCAATTCCTCAATTCTAGTAAAAGGCCAAAACTGAACTTAATGAAGCTGTGAGTAACAAAATAAGAAACGAGCAACTCATGACCAGACTATGACAAAAAGATTTTTACGTAGTTCGAAGGTTGATCTCCTACATCTATAAGCGACGATAAAAGTTTCCCTCAATGTGAAAGAACTGTAGAAGAATACTCCTTAAGAACTCAGAGAATAAATGTAAAGATGAGATGAGGAATACTATAACGATATAGACATAGTAGAACCCTCATTTATAGCCACGAGGAGACACCTCGGGAAGCGTTCAGCGAGCACCCCTCGCCCATGACGTGCTCACTTAATGCTTCGCGTGCTGCGATGGGAAACGGAGATGTACTCACTCAATGAGTCACGTGCCCAACATCCTGCCCCTCGCCGTCATCATTCCGCCTTTGGTTCTGTTTCTCGCTTACAAGGGTGTTTCAGTGTGTGAGGAGGCAGTGGAATCTGCCGTGAGGAGCAGCTGGCACAACTCATCACCATCGCAGCCATCCTTGGGCGGACATCCATCCCCCAGATCTGGCAAGCATGAAGAATTGGGCAGCCCACCGCTACTCAGAAGCAAGGAGAAGCATCTCACTCTTCCTGCCGGGTGTTTCAGCCGCATTCGGTTTGGCCTTCGCGATCTTTGCTAGCCTGCTTGTTGTGCTCTTCGTCTCCGGAGCTTACGGGCCTCCCTTGTCGTTCCTCTCCGGCATACACCGGGACAGAATACCGCGGCAGCAGCAACAACCGCCGGAGAACGGTCAGTTCATCTCCTCCCTCTCCCCTCTCGTCATCTCTCCTGACAATAGAAAGAACAGCAATACCACCGGCATCCTCCTCGCTGACCTGTGACCGTAGAAATCCTTCCCTCTCCCCCCCAGTCGGTTCTCTGCACCTGGAATCATACTCGACACGCGTCTCTGCCGATCCGCCGCCTGCCGTGAATCTCGAAGGGATCCAAATGGCGTGGCGGCGCTTCGCCGTCGGATTTAGAGGAACTGGGAATCCGATCGGGAGTGGCCGTCGCCATCGCGCCTACGCCCAATCGGAGGCCTCTCTATTCCAAGACCTCCCACGTGGATCAATTGAAACTGTGGTTCAAGTCGCTCCTGACTGGACCATCTCCAGCGGCCGATTTTTCCCTGCGGGGGATGGTTTCGTCGAATATCTCACGATATCTATGAGCCTGAATGCTTGCGTCTTTCTTCGTTGCATCTGGTAGGAAGAGATCAATCTCTGGAGACGCGCGCTACCACATCATCCGGCGGAAGACTCGAAGAGAGGCCCGCGATTTTCGTAAGTCTTTGCCTCCCGCCCTACACCCTCTCAAATGCTTCATCGAGTGACATACCAGGTTACTGATAGCAGAATAGGAAGAACAGGAAACTGGCAGATGAGGAAGACGAAGCGAAGAACTTAGAAAAAAAAGGGAGGGAAGGCCGCATGTTTTTCAGCTTGCTCAGCCCATCACACCCATGAGACGCAAATCTTAGTACCGTGGATAGTTTGAGGGATAAGCTACAATCCTTGTCACCAGGTAACTAATGATATCTAATATACATATTCTCGTTCTGTAACAGGCTGCTGCGTCGCCACCTCCCCCCGATGTGCTCCCCTCGAAAGCCGAGCTTCTGAACGGTACAGCGGAGGGCTCGTCGCCCGTAGCCGCAGGACATTTCTCCGGTACTGCGCTTATGCCGCCAACATTCGCCATGAGGCCACCCTCAGAAGTTGAGCTCGGCAAGGCCCAAATCACCGCCTCCTTCCCCAAGTCGGATTCGAATGGAGCTGAAGACCAGCTGCTTGATGAACTGCTCGCCTCCAGCGTGCACGACCGCTCTTGCCTGAGCAGGTACCGATCGGCGCCATACCGCCGGGAGTCGCCCTACAAGCCATCTGCCGACCTGGTGAAGAGCCTCCGGAGATACGAAGCTCTGCACAAGAGCTGCGGACCTCAAACAGAGGCCTTTGAGAAATCCATGCTCCTGCTGAAGAACCCCCATGGCGGCCCCTCGCGGTGCAAGTACTTGGTGTGGACTCCTGAGAATGGGCTGGGGAACCGGATGTTAAGCCTGGCGTCTACCTTCCTCTATGCTCTGCTTTCGGACCGGGTGCTGCTAATTGACAGAGGAAAAGACCTCGACAGCCTCTTCTGCGAGCCATTCCCAGGCAGCTCCTGGTTGCTCCCTCCGGACTTCCCTCTGAAATTTCGTGCCGTCTTCAACAAGACGGACCCCCATAGATTTGGAAACATTCTGAGGAGCAGAAGCATCAGCGATGATGTTCCCCAGCCGGCGATGGTCTATGCCCACCTGTCCCATGACTACGACGACCAGGACAAGCGCTTCTACTGCGAGGCGGACCAGAAGCTCCTCCACCAGGTCCCCTGGATGGTGCTGAGATCGGACCAATACTTTGTGCCGGCTCTCTTTCTCCTCCCGTCGTTCGAGCGGCGACTGCACCAGCTGTTTCCCCAGAAGGAGGTGATCTTCCACCACCTGGGCAGGTACCTCTTCCACCCTAGCAACCCTGTGTGGGATCTGATCATCTCCTACTTCGAAGCTAATCTCGCCGGAGCGACGGAGACCTTGGGCATACAGCTCCGGATCTACGGCTCAGAAAATCCGATAATCAAGCTCGTCACACGCCAGATCCTCAACTGTACTTGGGGAGAGAAGCTATTGCCCCTCCCCGTTGCCCACAACTCCACCGGGATTCCCTCCCAGAAGACTGTATCAGTTCTCCTCACGTCTCTCCACTCCGAATTCCTCGGTAGACTGGAGAACGTCTACCGGGGTTTTTCCCTGGGCATCAGCTTCCACCAGCCGAGCCACGAGGAGCGGCAGCAGACGGGGAGGGAGGCGCACGACGCGAAGGCCCTGGCGGAGATTTTTCTTCTCAGCACTGCCGATACGCTAGTAACCAGCGCGTGGTCGACGTTCGGGTACGTCGCTCAGGGGCTTGGGGGGCTGACCCCGTGGATCCTGCGGGGGCCGGTGCACGCCGCCGTGCCGCAGCCCGCGTGTGTCCGAGCGACGTCCATGGAGCCCTGCTTCCATTTCCCCCCCAACTACGACTGCGCAGCAGGAGGGTTCCTTGAGACGACAACGGTCCTCCCATACACGACCCAGTGCAGAGACAGAATTTCGGGGTTGCAAATGGTAGATGGAGGATCAACATGAAGTACCTCGTCGTAGAATCTTATTGTTTTCTTCCATCATCACTACCATGATGGAATTTGACATACCTGTATTCTCCATCAATGCGAAAAATGACAAACGCCTTATGATCTTTCTCCTCTTTTCTTCTGTTCGATCTCCACAATCAGAACCTCTCTCCTATGAATAGAGTGTCTCTGTACCAGTTGTGTTGTTCTGTTGCGTTGAAACCCCAAAGGCAGGCCTTTATATAATGCGCTCCATAACCATATTACTGTTTTACCCTGAGTAAACCTTAATACCATAAATTATTCATTATTAATATCTAATTTGATTAGAAAAATCACCTTGATGGAGTTTGTCTCCAACAATCTCTCACTTGACTTTTTCTAATCTTCTTTATATCAGATCATTATGTGAAGCAACTACAACCTTAATGCTTATAAATGATATTTTCATTTTGATCATAATATCTTTCAAAAGTACTAGTCATGGTGATAATACAACATTTAGGATGTATGTTCCTTCTATGTACTAAGATACTCATGATCAATATTCAAACTAAATACTTTATGTGATATTTAAAGAAGCTTTATGAATGCACTCACTATGTCATGACAAGATAAACGAAGTGTCATTTTCATTATCTAATGATAAATGATAGTTCATCATAAACTAATATTCAGATATCAGACACGTGATATCACATATTACAATAGTGTCTAAATACATGTCATATCCTCTAGGGAACTAATCAACCCCATCTTACAAATATGTCCACCATAAGTACCAAGTGAAAGTGCCTTCGTAAGAGGATCAACTAACATATAGTCAGTCGTAATATGATCAATTGCCACTAATTGATCTCTAATTCTTTCCTTCACAACCAAGAACCGAATCTCTATGTGCTTACAAGCACTTGAGCTCTTGTTGTTGTTGGAGAATTTGATAGTAGCTTCATCATCACAATATATCCTTATGGGTTTATGTATAGAGTTCACAACTCTTAATTGTGTGATGAAGTGCTTCATCCATATAGCTTGTGAAGATAAGTGAAAGCAAACTATATACTCAGCTTCTATTGTGGATGTTGCAACTGTCTTCTACTTTGTACTAGACCATGAGACAACTCCTCTAACAAGTAAGAATACATAGCTCAAAGTTGATCTTTTTGTGTACAAACATCCAACAAAGTTTGAGTCAAAGTATCCAATGACCTCTAGTTGATCCATTCACCTATATGTGAGTATTATATCTTTAGTTCCTTGAAGATATCATACAACCTTCTTTGCAGCTTGCCAGTGTATCAAGCCAAAGACACTTTGATATCTTCTGAGATATCCAATGACAAATGATAGATCCGGACAGGCACATATTTGCGCATAGTTGAGAGACCCAACTACAACAGCATATGATTTTTCTTTCATTACAAGTCTCTCTGCATTTGAGAGACATCTTTCTAATTTTCTTAGTTTATTACCCTTAACAATAAGTGCTTTACTAAGAAAATAATTTTTCATCGAAAATCATTTCAACACATTGGATATGTAGGACCTTTGAGATAGTCCAAGCATGCTCAAAGACCTATTGAGGTGAATCTCTATGCCAATTACATAATTAACTTCACCCATATCTTTCATATCAAAATTAATTGATAGAAATTCCTTGGTCTCCTTTAATAAACTAAGGTTTGAACTAGCAAGTAGAATATTCATCTACATACAACACAAATAATATATATTTACTCCTACTTTATTTTAGGTATATACATTGATCAAGAATATTTTTGTGATAACTTTATTGAATTTAAAGTACCACTATCTGGAAGTTTGCTTGAGTCTGTATATAGATTTATTCAACTTGTAAATCATATGTTCCTTACTTTTAACCTCAAATCTTTGAAGCTACTGCATGTGCACTTCTTCCTTTAGTTTTTCATTTAGGAAAGTCATTTTCACATCCATTTGATGTAGTTGTTAATCAAAATGAGCTACTAAGGCCATAACTATTCTCAATAAATCCTTAGAAAAAAGAGGAGCATAAGTCTCATAATAGTCAATACCTTCTTTCTCTAGGAAATTCTTTGTTACAAGTTTGGCTCTATATCATTTAATTGTATTATTAGGATTTAATTTCATGTTATAAACCCATTTGTAACCAATAGGTTTCTTTCCTATAAGCATGTTTACAATGTCTCATACTTGATTCCAATCCATAGACACAAGAGGTTCATTCATAGTTTGTAACCATTGATCAGAGTTCACACAGTTCATTGCTTATGAAAATGTAACGAGATCATTTACCTATTGACCTATGTCTTCACCTAAGAGATATATTGCATAGTCAGATTAAATAGTTGTTTTTCTTTATCTTCTTAATCTTCTCAGATTCATCTCTTGATCTTGATGTAGATCTTGAATAGATGAATCTATAGTAGGCTGAGATGATTGTTTATGTGGTTGTTCTTGAGTAGGTATATTTGTCCCATCATTGTTGTCTAAGGTTGAAACAGCATATGGCAAATAAACTTTAGTCTTCTAAATAAGTTAAATATCATTGCACTCACCAAAAATTTATTGAGATAAAACAATATCTTCGTGAGACTCCTCATAAATAAAATCCCTAAAGATACTCTCACTAACACAAACATTCTCTAAAAAGATAGCTCTATCAATTTCAACGACTCTTGAGGTATGTGTAGGGCAATAGAATCTATATCCTCTCGACCTCTCAAAATAATTAATGAAGTATCCACTGATTGTTCTTAAATCTATAGATTTCTCATGTGAATTGTAAAATTTAGCTTCAATTGAACAACCTCATATGTGCATGTAACCTAAAGAGGGTTTCCTATTAGTCCATAACTCGTAAGGAGTTTTCTATATGGACTTTGTTGGAACCCTATTTAGAATCTGCATAGTTGTCTTTAAAGCTTCACTCCACATTGAGACTAGAAGAATATAATAACCCATCATAGCTCTAATCATTTCTTTAAGCATTCTATTTCGTCTTTCTACAACCTCATTTATGTTAGGCGTGTCTGGTATTATGTACTGAGGTACTATGGCATGTTCCTTAAGAAACAACATGGATGAAATACTTTTGGCCTATTAAATATAGATGAAAAGGTCCACATACATCTGTATGAATCAAATCTAATGTTGTCCCATATTTTATAGCATTTTTCATGAATGTGTTGATTGTTTTTGTTTTGATGCAATCAACAAAGGTATCGAGATTTTTGAAATCAAAAATCCTAAAATACCTTCTTTCACTAATCTCTCCACCCTCTTTTGGGATATGTGTCCCAACTTCTTATGCCACAAAATTGTAGAGTTATCATTAGTTCTATTCCTTTTATTCGAGTAAACTAGAGAAATATTTTTAGAAGAAACATTAAGCTTAAATAATCCATCAATTACACCAGTCCCAATGGAAATATTTTCTCTCGTCAAAGACATGCATGATGCATCAAGAATGACACAATAATTGTATTTAACTAATTTGATAATAGATATCAAATTTCATTGAAATGATAGAATATAAAAATAGTTCTTCAAAGTAAAGTTTCTCCAAACTCTAGAGTGATTCTATAATCTCCCACTGACTTTATGTGCAAATGCATCTAATTTCTAGATACGACATATAGTTCACACTCAATTGGAGTCTACCTTATTAGAAACCCCTACAAGATGGTTGAAATGTGCATAGTGACACTTGAGTCAACCCACCAACTCAAATTAAGAATAGAAGCTAGATTTGATTCATGACTTGTGATAGAACCTCATTACCTAAATTCTATTTGATTAACCATTCCTCGTGCTTCGGGCATTTCTTTTTCAGATGACCAGGTTTCTTGCATAAGAAATATTTAACCTTAAAGATTGAGCTTTTACCCACACCTAATTCATGCTTCTTCTCTGAAGATTTCTTAATCATCTTGCCCTTTGATGCACATGTCTTTGATCCGTGAGTTACCAGATTCATGATATTTATCTTGTCCAGTTGACTAGTAGCTTGCCTTTCTTCCTCTTGAACACACTTAGTCATGAGATCATTCATCGTCCATTCATCCTTATGTGTGTTATAGAAGACCTTAAAAAGGTCATATTCCACTAGTAATGTCTATAGGATGTAATGGACCAAAAAAGGTCTTAAGAATAGTAATATTCAGATTATTCAATTTTCTCACAATGTCACGCATGGCCATGATGTACTCCCGTATGTTTTTATTCCTTGTATAACACATGGAAGTAAAATTTTGAATCAAGGCACCTACTTTAGCTTTGTCAGATCTAACAAATTATTGTTCAATCATTTGCATGTAAACGGTCACGAGAGTGTTAGAAGTCACAAGACCTCTAATATTTTTAGGTACATGTTGTAATATGAATGATAAAGACAGTCTGTTGGATCTCTCCCATCTTTCATGGAGAATCCTTGCATCTGCATTACTTTCATCAATAAGTGCGGTAGGAACAAATACTCAAAAGCAAAGATCTAAATCTATCAGGCCCAATTAAAACATCAAAGCTTCCTTCTATTCTAAGAAGTTTGCACCATTCAACATAGGTACTTTAACCCCTCTATCTACTACAAAGAAACAATTCACATGAAATGACCTTTATATTTAACAATAATATCATTATAATTCTACATAGGCAGATGAAATATTGTACTATTAGTTAAATGAACATGAAACTAATTGCACATACATAAAAGTCTATGAAGTATGTTACTATTGGGTACTTAAATACTCTATATTTTTAATATATAAATACAATCATTTCAGTCATTTAGATATAAGCATAACAATATTACATACATTGGTGAGTAATGTTAATATCATTTATCAAAATGTAAAGTTAAATACCATCTGAATTAGATTTAAAATCTACTTGATGTAATTAATACAAATAACTATTCTTACTTGGTGTCATGTTGGTGAGGAACACAAGTTACCTAGGTAAATGAATAATTACATGGCATTCAATATATTTTTAGAATTGGACTAAACAAATTAATGTTCTATCTTGATAGTTCAATGAATATTGTATGTCATACATCTAATTATTATCTAAAATTCAAAAATACCAATAACATGGATATATAGACAATAAATTAGAACATTGAAACTACAATATGCTAATAATGAACGCATAAAATAATAAATAAAGCACATAAAAAATAATAAAAACATGTATTTATTATTATTATTATTTTATAAATCAACATCAAACATCAGATGACATCATCACTAGGTGGCCGTCATTTCACGATCCGTGTGAGGCGGTTCGCATGGCAAAACGTCCACCGCCTTTAACGGCGCCTTGGGAGGTGAGTCACCGCCTCCCACGAACCACTTCGTCGCCCTCAAGGTCCTACCGCCTCAGACGGTCGCAACGCTCCACCCGTCTCTGCCAACGTCGGCGGCGGTGGAGCACACTGCGGAGGCATGGAGTGCAATCGCCACCGCGCCAGGCAGTGGTACGGAGCCGAGGCCGACCGGAGAAAATGGGGCCTGCTGCCCCCATCCTCTGCCAGTCGAGCCCGCCAGTGAAACGGGGCCCACTGCGATGAGGACCGCTGCCGCGACCAGCACGACGGCAGTGGGTATTGGGACTGCCGTTGTGGCAACCCACGCCTCGACGATGTACGATGGTGGTCTGTGCTCATGCTGCACTGCCTAAGGCCACTTTACGGCAGCGGCCGTCTGCATGGTCGCCGTTGTGGTCTTCCTGGCCATAGCTTTCCTGGTCACCAACGCGGCCAGTGGCTGCCTTGGTCACACCTCATATGGATGACACGGTCGCCTATTCGGCTGCTTCCATCGTCTCAGCCTCACGGACGACGTATGGTGTTGTCCCCATGCGGCGACTTAATGAGTGACTTTGGTTCTCATATGCCTCATATGCGACGAAAGTCGCATAGAATAATCAGAACAAAGAGGAGGAAACCTGCTGTGATACCACTTGATGGAATTTGACGTACTTGTATTCACCATCAACGCGGAAAATGACGAACGTCTTATGATCTTTCTTCTCTTTTCTTCTTGTTTGATCCCCACAATCAAAACCTCTCTCCTAGTGTCTCTACATGAGTTGTGTTATTCTCTTGCGTTCAAATCCCAAGGATAGGCCTTTTTATAATACGCTCCATAATCATATTATTATTTTGCCCATGGTAAACCCTATACCATGAAGTATTTATAATTGCATTAATATTCAATTTGATTAGAAAAGTCATCTTAATGGAGTTTGACGCCAGCATGCCAACTCAAAATATTTGGTGTAGATTGCAAGAGGAAACTAGGGACAAGATTTTAGGACATAAACTAAGATACCAAAATAAATCATTGCAAGCTACACTATGCTGCTCACTTTAACAATTTACTAGGGCTTTTCATAGATAAGTCTGTAATATTATATGATGATTGACCAAGAAATAGTTAAGTAATCATCTACATTATCTCATATTAGTAGTTGAATCAGGATTTGACTTGGGTTGGTCAGTTCAATATTATAATTGAAATGTGAACCTCAGAAAAGTTAAAATCCAAGGGGGGTGACGTGACCTAGTTGTTGTATAATAAATCATGTAAATTTAAATTTTATAAAATTAAAAAATATTAATTTTTGGATATTTAGAAGTATTTCTAAATAAAAATATCATTTTTTATAAAAATATAATTAAATAGAAGTTATAAAAATAGTGAAATTTTTTCAAGTCAATCACAAAGATGTAAAATAACATCAGGTAATATATCAAAATTGTTCTCAAAGAATATGATTTTTTATGAATTTTAGACTAATAAAGGAAAAAAAAATATATTTAAAATTCACAAAAAAGAGAAATACAAGTATAGACATCAGATGATGTCAGCACCCAACAAATGTAAATCTAGTGAAAATAGAGTTATACCTGAAAATTCTTACATGAGTAATTACAAATTATTTAATTAGTCAAATTAAGATCTATAAAAGTTGAAATAATCGTAATTGAATGAAGAATAGTTTAGAAAATTTAAATTATATAAATTATCTATAAATGAAGTAAAAATTAAGTTGAAGTCAAGAAAAATAAAATTCCAGTATTATAGTGGTGAGGTGTCAACAATACATCAGAATCTTAAGTATTCGAGAGGATTATCATATAGTGTTTATAGCTTCAAAGGCTCTTCTTAGACAAAGACAAAATGAGTAATCTCTTGATCTTCTTGCGAAATTTAGAGATTAATGAAAAAGGTTATTAAATTATCTCTAACAACTATCACCTAGTGAAGTAGAAAAATGACGATTTTATAATTCTTCAATGGCTATCACCTAATAAAGATGAGCTCAATGAAGGTGGGGTACATGTTAGAGAGCTTCATTCTCAAGTCCACACAACAAGAGAAGATTCTTCATTACATCTAGTATGCTCTCAAAAGATGGTAACTTATCTCTCAATGGATTGTTGGTGACGAATAGAACTTGTCTTCACCATTGCACAAGCTTGAGGCAATAAGGGAGACCCCATCTTCACGTGTCCAACTAGATCAAAAAATGTGAGTAAAGACGAAAGACCCTAGGTTCCACTATATCGCCTGAGATGTCTTTCGGTTTTCCACGTCTTATTCTTTCCTCACTCATTTCCCATGTCCATGAGTAGTGTAGGTTCTAGTTCTACTCTGTGTGGGGACCTCCCATCCCTAGGGTCTATGTTGGGCCCATGGTGGGGATGTGAAGGCCCATTTCCCTTTGTTTTCTTTTCTTTCCTCTCTTCTCCTCTCGGGCCATACATGTTTGGGCCCAATTGGAGAAGAGGGCGTCCTTCCTTTCCTCATCTCTCTTCTCTGTTGGGCCATTCTCGTTTGGGCCCAATGGGAGAGGAGGGCCCATTTTGGACCATTTGGGGTCCTCCACCCTTGGCGTCTTGGGCCTCCAGCGTGGCCCTCCACCCTTGGCCCATTTGGGGCCCTATATTAGGGGTGGAGAGCCACTCCCAAGGACAGAGCCGTCATCTTTAGAAGAAAGTGTGTTTTGATTGAGAATCTCGTTCCAAGAGGACAAAAGGAGGAAGAGGATCACCGTCAGGTCACCGCAGCTGCTTCTAGGCCGTCAGCAGCCCATCGAGCTGCCGCCAGGTCCCCGTCACCGCTACCAAACTATCAGCGCCCGCCGTGTCACTGCTAGCACGCCAACCTGTGCGACCGCGCCTGCCCCCTGGAGCTCGCCTTTGCGCCCAACCTAGGGCGCCTACCTGAGTGCCCCAACCACTTGGTCGTGCCCCTTCCTCCGACCCTGTCCGAGCCCATACTACTGAGCCCAGCTGAGCCCAACCGATATCCACCAAAGGGGGGCCGTCGTTGATTCACCCCAACCCCTCCAAGAGAGCACCAAACCACCGGAACGCCTGTCCATGGTGTTAGGTGGACGCCCTCCTGCACACCTACCGGACCTCTGCCCTATAGGTTAGCTCTTATCTCCTTTCCTCCAAGTCATTTACTACGTTTAGTATCATCTCGTGCCTACTCCACCACCATTGGACCTAGCTAGGTTAGAACGGGTTAGGTGTCTCCACTGAGCGACTCTGACATGTGTGTGCTAGAATTGTCATGTTGGTTGTCGAGCATTCATTGTGGAGTTGCGTCAACGATACTAAGTCCTCATCTTCCAAATGTGGACTTAGATGATCACCCTACATCAGAACTACCTAGCGACACCTAGTTGTGATGGATTGTTAGCGTCATAGCATTTTGGCTACTACTTGCACTTGGTTGAGTTCAGCACTCATCATCTGAAGTCCCTAGTTAATATTATTCATGGTGTCTATGGTTCATAAGTGCATCCTATTTAATTGTCAAGTAGGTTCATAAGCGTATCCTACATCAATTGTTCTCTTCTCGATGATAACTTGTTCGTCAATCAATTTAAGATGATTTACTCGATAGATTTATGATCTTCTTATCGCAAATTATTCAATAATTTTAGTAACAATCTTGACAGCTTAATTTTAGTAATTTGTGATCCTCCACGAATCACATCAATGAAATTTTCACTGATGATTAAGTGATTTTCACAACTTAATCTTTTATCAGTGATCTATAAGAAAGATACAATTTAATCAAATAAAAATATGAGCTTTGGCTCTAGTAGAATTCGAACCTACGTTGATCGCCCATTTACATGAGAGAAAGGAAAAAAAGTTCTTGAATACCCTTATATAGTGACATCATCATGGTATCTCATAGTTATAAATAAGAGGCATTTTTAGTATTAAAATCATTGAAATTTTTTGGGAAAGATAAGATCGTTGATTTAATCCCACATTGGTTATACATCAGTTGTTGAGACACAGGTAATGCAAGATTTAAGAATCATTGAGTCCCTTTCTCACGTATATACGACCACTCCTTGCCCTACGCCTGGTTGGCCACCAGTGACATGAAAGGGAAGTGACACACATGTGTCCTCATCGGTCCATAGCGACTCAAGTCTGCACTCACAGTTTTGCCCTGATTGTGCTTCCAACCTACTTGTGGGCCCGACTGGCCAAAGAATCTCCCCTTTTTTTCTATTTTTTATTTTATTTTTATTTATTTATCTCAAAAATAGGATTATAAAAATTATATAAAGTTTATATAAAACTACATAATTAGCTAAAAATCACATTAACTAATTGAAAACTATTTTTTCATAATTTTAATACAAATATAAGTCTATTAATCACAAGTTAAGGCTAAAACTATATTATTTATTAATTGTTAACTCATGATAATGAAAACTTATCAAGAAGGTTCCCTTATGTGTGAAAGTCAAATAAGGTAGAGCTGTCTCATACGAAAATCTACAAATACACTTTTTATCTATTTTAAAAGACATCTTGAATTCATTTGACTAATCAAGTGTGTTATTTTTCTTCAGTGTAATAATGTCTACTAATATTATTTTTACATCTAATGGTAGATAATGCGAACTTATATGATAATAGATGATCCAATGGTAGATCTTAGCTCAAGAGTTAGAGAGTGTGGTGAGTCATATACCTAACCAGAAGGGAACTACGGCCCTTTTTCAAATCTGTATTGTTTGTAATTTACCTTCCATTTTGATACTTCTTTTCGAATTTGATTAGGGAACAAAAGGACCATTTATGATGGCAGCATATTAACCTTGAGAATCATATTTAAATTTCTATCTAGGCATAACACTAATCCCTTATGTAGGTAATGAATTGAGGTTTAAAATTCAAATTTAAAAGGGACCAAATGACATGGTCTCTCTTAAAAAGAATCAAGAAATTTGAAGCATTCACCATCATGGAAACAACATGAAATACAGTTTGAGAATGTGTACATACCAATAATATCAAAGAAACCTATCAGTAATAGATATTTTATTTTTTAACAGATTTCTTTGTCCATTGATTCAAGCAATGTGAATTTAAGAATTGTCTAAATCATTCCTTATCAACTCAATGATTAAGGACCTCAAGTCAAATGAATTCAAGCCCTGATTTCCATTCTTCCATTACTTCATGACATGCCACCTTGGGACGCTGATTGTCATATATCTTAAAAAGCAAAGACATGTTTATAAATGAGCCATGTCTTAGTATCTTTAACTATAAACTTGCATTATTTTATGATGAAAAAAAATCACAACACTATACATATGTTCATTGCAATAATATTCAAGGTATGAAATCTTTAAAACATCAATCAGTAGGAGAAATTAATAAAATAATAGCATAGTGCCAAGGTTTTAGTGGGAATTAAAATGTAACGGAAGACTGAGTTAATTCATTCTTCTAGAATGATATTATGCATATTATGTAAGAATAAAAATCACTTGACACTAAGGTATAAGATTCATGTGGTCAAGTTATATTCCTACTCCACACCCTAGACCTCTTCTTGAAATTTTATTTGTCATCAAAAACCTATTCAAAGTCAGATTTTGTAACATGTGAAGTTAACTTTTGGAATCAGATGATGTGTAGCCAAATCTAAAATAAAATCAATTCAACAAATTACAAAAAATCTATGAATGCCAAAGATTTTTTTTGCTTTACTGATTACTTAAACCATGAATAAATTTACTAAGCACTTGTCAACTTCTAAAGATAAGAGTTTCAAGATCTTAAGCATTAGGGTGGAAGCATACTCATCATAGAGCTATCAAAAACTCATTTTTCAGCCTTTTCTAGTCAATCATATGGTGTATTTAAGACATTTAGTACTTCACTAAAAAAACATTTGCAAGTCTAACATTAATGGTTAATTTAAGCTCCTCATGTATTTTTTGGTTAACATATATACCATATATTTAATGACAATGTTGATAGGTATCACCATTTATGTCTCCATACCGACATTGATCTTCTATTTTATATGTGATAATCTTTGATGTTGAACTCTCTAAGCTGTCTCACTCCACATGTAGTAGAATTATCATTTCACCAAATTGCATTGACTCTATAATTGGATGAACCATTATTTGAAAATGATGTTTTGTTATATTATATCTTATAAGTACTCTTCTATTGATATATATCTTGCCAGATTCTATATTGCAGCACATCACCAAGAAGGGGATAAATTAATCAAGTCCTAATTTTTATTTCTTTTTTGTTCTCTGATTTATTCTCTCTTCTCATTTCTTAAGATCTAAATGGTTGGATGAAAATTTCAGATTTTGTTTTTATAATGGTTTAATCAATAGACTTAGTCCACTTTCTAAGTACCTCATACACCAATATTTCCTTGGGTACCACTAAATTCTTATTGAAATGTAAGCTAAATTACAAGCTACATTATTGATTTAATAGCTCCTACTAAATCAAGATGGAACCTTACAATCATCTTCTAGATTCATAGCTCTAGGGGGGCAAACTAGACAAGACCCACTCCTCTCTTCCACATTCACATCTCTAGGGGGCCAAACAAGATTAGTACGAGTTCATAAACTCTAGATTTTGATGAGTGTAAGTACAAAAACAATCTAAATACATAGTAAACATGTTACTTTTCTAAGAGTTTAGTTCTATGTACCTCAAAGGCTCTTGATCCTCCAATTTTCTTGTTGAGAAGCTTGGTGTGAAGCAGGAATTCTAAATCTTGAGTGGTAGAATATTTTCATGGTTTTCAAGAGCTCATGCTTACAACAATCTACCATAGACTCCTTGTAGGAAGGTGGTGAACAATGTAACTCTTTATAAGTTCCTTATTAATTTTCTCTCTAGATCTTACTCTCACACTTACACTTGAAGTGAGCATATGCCCCTTATATAAAGAGTGCATTGTTATCATCATCAACACAACTTAGGCTCCTAAAGCTTTCAACAATTTCCAAGTTAAATCTTAACATGAGGAATAAGATATAACATGTGCAAATCATATGATATTATCAAATTTCAATATTTTATATAAAAGCAATTTAACTAATTAAATAATAAAAACATCATTTAAATCAAATACCATTAATATCTTGAATTAAAACTTAATTTCATTGTATAGCTTTGCTTAAAACTGAATTGCATTGATACCTTTAATTATTGATGACTTTTTTGTTAGGGCTCGTTTAGATGACTTGATAAAATATTGTATTTATACCTTATATGTCACTCCATGGTTGGCATGACACCGGTTTAAAAAAAAATACCAAAATAAATTTAGTAGATTTCCTTGTTAAGATATTGACTTATTAGGTTATGAAGTGTGGATCAACCCAATTGATTATTAAAGGGTAATATATTAAGATATATCATGTGTAGTTGCTCCAACCAGGAATATACTCAAGAATACTACCTTACATGAGGTATGATATGTTTGAGTCCATAACTTTCAAATGTGAAAAAAATAAATGTCAAAAATGAAAATGTTTCACTCGTAACATTATAGCACAACTTTCTTAATATTTCTATGAGAATATTGCTAGTACTGATTATCAAAAAAATATCAAAAAAAATCCAACAATAGAATGCCATTTAACTTGCAGTTATATGTATTTCAAGAATAGGTGTTGAACAACTTGATATGTGGTAATCAAGCTAAGAAAAAATACATTTTTGAGATATGTTGGTGTTGTACTTGTTGGCTTTTGGAGCCTGTAGAGTTTTAATCACAAAGTAATAGATAGAAGGATAAAAAAGTAGGATTAAATTTCAAAAACCAAGTCAAGGATTTTAAAAAATATTTTTAGAAGATTTCTAAGCCCTTAGAAAGGTTTTGAGATTTTGAGACTAAATGCATTACCTAGAGTGTATCTTTCTATTTACAAGAAGGGAGTTGACTTGGGAATAGACACTTAACTACATGAGGTTTACAAAGTAAAAAAGACAACATAGAAAGGTAGCATGATGATTTAATACATCAATATCTCTTAGCACTACACTTATTGGTTTTCTTTATTCTCCTCTTTAACTCTCATAAATGACCAAGTATTTATATAGCTTATGGATAAGGTTAGGTGACATGACTTAGTCGTTGTATAGTAAATCACGTAAATTTAAAATTTATAAAACTAAAAAATACTAATTTTTGAATATTTAGAAGTATTTATGAAAAAATCTATCAATTATAATTTAACAAAACTTATAAAAATAATAGTAATTTTTTAAATCAATCATAGGAATGTAATATAATATCAAGTAATTATTCAAAAATTATCTCAAAGAATATGATTTTCTATGAATTTTATATTAAGAAATAAAAATAAAATATATTTAAAATTCATGAAAAAGGAAAATAAGGATGCAGATGTCAGGATGACATTAGCGCTTGACAAATGCAAATTAGACGGAAATAAACTTTTCTCTGGTAATTCTTACGTAAATGATTACTGATAATTTAATTGATCAAATTAAGATTTTTAAAAGCTGAAAGAATCGTGATTAAATGAAATATAGCTTTGTAAATTTAAATCACATAAATTATCACTAAATGAAGTAGAAATTAAGTTGAAAGTAGGAAAACAAACTTTCGACGTCGCGATAGTGATGTGTCAGCGATGCATTAGAATCCAAAGTGTTCAAGAGAATTATCATCTAGTGTCCATGGCCTTGAAGGCTCACCTTGAATAAGGATGACATGGGTAATCTTTAGATCTCCTTGGGAAGTATAGAGATCAATGAAATGGGTCGTGGAATCATTTTTGACGACTGTCACTTGGTAGAGCAGAAAAATGACGACTTTACAGCTCTCTAGTAATTGTCACCTAATAGAGAGGAACTGAATAGAGATGGGGTTCATGTTAGGGAGCTTCATCCTCAAGTTTGCATAGTAAGAGAAGGCTCTTCATCATACCGAGTATGCTCTCAAGGGGTGACGACTTGTCTCCCAATGAATCATTCTCTTTCCAACAACAACTTGTTCGTTGGTCAATTGGAGATGCTTTACTCGATAGATTCATGATCTTTTTATTGCGAATCATTTAGTAATTTTAGTAACAATACTTTACAAATTATATTGACGAGATTTCTACCGATGATCTAATAATTCTAGCGACTTAATCATTCACTTATAATCTATAAGAAAGTTGTGATAATCAGAAAAAATATATGAGTTTTGGCTTTAGAAGGATTTGAACTCATGTCGATTGCTTGCCTTCAAAGCTTTTTGGGGGAAGGTGTGACGCGGGTTTAGTTCTACATCGCTTGTGCACCAAAATTTTGGACGAATAAATACTAATATCACATTTTCAAACAATGAGTCTCTTTCTCTTATTTGTACAACCACTTTTTACCTCACAATTGGCTGGCCACCGGTGACGTGGAAGGGGAGTGGCGCACATGTGCCCTCATTGATCTTAGCTGCTCAAGCCCTTGCTCATGGCTCCTTCCTAACTGCACTTCCGACCTACTTGTGGGCCCGACTAGCCGACGGGTCCCCCCACATTTTACTATATTTTTATTTTTATTTCTTTTTCTTCATTTATCTCAAAAATAAAACTATAAAAATCATATAAATTCATAAAAAATCACATAATTAGCCAAAACTTTACATTAATTAACTCAAAATTACTTTTCACACTATAATATAAATATAAGTCTATTTATCATGAGTTAAGACTAAAACTATCTTATTTAGTAATTATTAATTCATGATAATGAAAACTTATCACTAGTTAAGTGAGTCAACTCATAATAAGAATATATTAAAATCTAATTTATCACTTAACGAATTTACTCATTTAGGAAGAACCAACCTAAAATTGAAGGAGATAGCAAGGTAAAATAGCAATCTTATATTATAAAAAATATTCTCTCATACCCCTTAATGACATTTTCATCACTACCTCTCACCATTCCACTCTACCATCATGTCTTGCTTACACTAAAATAGTTTAACATTCTACTATAATGAGCTTAGTTGGCAGACTATTATTGACCTACAAATATTGAAATAGCCTTTGTTTTACTCCTTAAAAATGCCGCAACCAATTTCCCAGGCAAAGCCTCACACCTAAAATCTTTTGAAATTTTTGAAGGACCTCTATTCATTGACCCAAAAAAAATTATGCTAATAAAAAAAATTATAGCTATTGAACTTAAGAAGCACCAAATGTCCAAAAATCTATATCATTCACAAATCAAACTCTTATAGATATAAATTAGATGAACTATCACACTATGAATCATCTAATAAACTATTTAATCATATTTTCATAGATTTTTATACTTGACTTGAAAATAAATATCTACCAAAGTGGTAAAGAAATGTAGAGCAAAAGTAATAGAAAATCAGAAAAGTTTTAATCTTCTTCTAAGTTGACTAAACATCATCTTTATTCATCAAACTTTCAACAGCCTTCAACACCTTTTCCAAATCATATCCCTTGATTAATTGATAATGTTTTTCAGTGAACATAGTGGAAATATAACTGATTATTAGGGTACACAGTTCAAGAATATTATTAATATTACAGCCAAGTATATGGCCATAGGTAGTAGTTTTAGTCCCAACTAGGGCACTCAAAGAGCTAAGATGAGTGGTGAGTTGACCTTCTTGTTTTCCCTGTAAAATATTTTTCAAGGTTGAAGAAAGGCTTTGAGATTTATCGTAGTTGATAAACTCTATCACATCTGGTTCGTGTGCAGTCGAACCCATGAGGCTGGAAGTGGGCTTCCAGGCTTCTGGGATTTGTCTGAACGATCACTCGGAGGCCTTCTTTGAGGCGCCACAAACACCTCCAACAGCTGCCCAACTCCTCCCCCTCGCTGTCTCCATTCCACCCTCGCTTCAGTTTTTCGCTTGCTCGCTTGTCTTCTCCCATTGGAGCAGTGTGTGAGGAGGCAGTGGAGTCTGCCAGGAGGAGCAGCTGGCGCAACTCATCACCATCGCAGCCATCCTTGGGCGGACATCCATCCCCCAGATCTGGCAAGCATGAAGAACTGGGCAGCACGCCGCTACTCGGAAGCAAGGAGAAGCATCTCACTCTTCAAGCCGGGTGTTTCAGCCGTATTCGGTTTGGCCTTCGTGATCTTTGCTAGCCTGCTTGTTGTGCTCTTCGTCTCCGGAACTTACAGGCCTCCGTTGTGGTCCCTCTCCGGCATAGACCGGGACAGCGCACTGCGGCAGCAGCAACAACCACCGGAGAACGGTCAGTTCATCTCCTCCCTCTCCCCTCGCGTCATCTCTCCTGACAATAGAAACAGCAGCAATACCACTGGCATACTCCTCGCTGTGACTGTAGAAATCCTTCCTTTTCTCGAATCGGTTCTCTGCACCTGGAATCATACTCGACATCCGTCTCTGCCGATCCGCCACCTGCCGTGAATCTCGAAGGGATCAAAATGGCGCGGCGGTGCTTCGCCGTCGGATTTGGGGCAACTGGGAAGCCGATCGGGAGTGACCGTCGCCATTGCGGCGATGCCCAATCGAAGGCCTCCACGTGGATCAATCGAAACTCTGGTTCGTCTGTCCCGAATGGACCATCACCAGCGGCCGACTTTTCATTGGGGGAGGGGGCGGGAGGGGCGGGATGGTTTCGTCGAATATCTCACGATATCTATGAGCCTGAATGCTTGCTTTCTTCCTCATTGCATCTTCGAATGCGCAGGAAGAGATGACGTCCTGGAGAGACCCGCTACTAAATCCTCTGGCGGAAAACTCGAAGAGACGCATGCGATTTTCGTAAGTCTTCGTCCCCCAAATCCTCTCAAATATTTCGTGTAGCGAACATAGTAACTCAGAGCAGAATTAATCGGGGAAGAGGAAGAACAGGAAATTTGAGGATGAGGAAGACGAAACAAAGAACTTAGAAAAAAAAAAAGGGACGGAAGATTAAATTTTCTTCAGCTTGCTCTGCCCATCATCACATCCGTCAGACACAATGCCGTGGAAGTTGACTTAATCGGATTAAATCATAGTAATGTAGATCGTTCACGAGGGATGAGCTACAATCCTTGTTACCAAGTAAATAATGATAATGATTTTTTTAGCTGCGATTTCTCTGACTTGGAAGGTGATGTAGTTGCTGAGTACTCAATCAGTTGTGGCCTTATAAATCTCATTCTGTGACAGGCTTCGTCACCACCTTCCACCAATGTGCTCCCCTCGAGGGCCGAGCTTCTGCATGGTACGGCGGCGGGCTCGTCACCGCTGTCCGCAGGACATTTCTCCGATGCTGCGCTTATGCCGCCAACATTCACCATGAGGCCACCCTCAGCAGCTGAGCTCCGCAAGGCCCAAATCGTCGCCTCCTTGCCCAAGTCAGATCCAAGGGTTCCCGGGATTCCTTCTCCTTCGAATGGAACTGAAGACCAGCTGCTTGATGGATTGCTCGCCTCTGGCGTGGACGACCGCTCTTGCTTGAGCAGGTACCGATCGGCGGCATACCACAGGGATTCGCCCTACAAGCCATCTGCCGACCTGGTGGAGAGCCTCCGGAGATACGAAGCTCTGCACAAGAGCTGCGGACCTCAAACAGAGGCCTTTGAGAAATCCATGCTTCTGCTGAAGAACCCCCCCCATGGCGGCCCCTCGCGGTGCAAGTACCTGGTGTGGACTCCTGAGAATGGGCTGGGGAACCGGATGTTAAGCCTGGCGTCTACCTTCCTCTATGCTCTGCTTTCGGACCGGGTGCTGCTAATTGACAGAGGAAAAGACCTCGACAGCCTCTTCTGCGAGCCATTCCCCGGCAGCTCTTGGTTGCTCCCTCCGGACTTCCCTCTGAAATTTCGTGCCGTCTTCAACAAGACGCACCCCCGCAGATTTGGAAACATTCTGAGGAGCAGAAGCATCAGCGATGATGTTCCCCAGCCGGCGATGGTCTATGCCCACCTGTCCCATGACTACGACGACCAGGACAAGCGCTTCTACTGCGACGCGGACCAGATGCTCCTCCACGAGGTCCCGTGGATGGTGCTGAGATCGGACCAATACTTTGTGCCGGCTCTCTTTCTCCTCCCGTCGTTCGAGCGGCGACTGCACCAGCTGTTCCCCCAGAAGGAGGCGATCTTCCACCACCTGAGCAGGTACCTCTTCCACCCTAGCAACCCTGTGTGGAATCTGATCATCTCCTACTTCGAAGCTAATCTCGCCGGAGCGACGGAGACCTTGGGCATACAGCTCCGGATCCACGGCTCAGAAAATCCGATAATCAAGCTCATCACACGCCAGATCCTCAACTGTACTTGGGGAGAGAAGCTATTGCCCCTCCCCGTTGCCCACAACTCCACCGGGATTCCCTCCCAGAAGACTGTATCAGTTCTCCTCACGTCTCTCCACTCCGAATTCCTCGGTAGACTGGAGAACATCTACCGGGGTTTTTCCCTGGGCATCAGCTTCCACCAGCCGAGCCACGAGGAGCGGCAGCAGACGGGGAGGGAGGCGCACGACGCGAAGGCCCTGGCGGAGATTTTTCTTCTCAGCACTGCCGATACGCTAGTAACCAGCGCGTGGTCGACGTTCGGGTACGTCGCTCAGGGGCTTGGGGGGCTGACCCCGTGGATCCTGCGGGGGCCGGTGCACGCCGCCGTGCCGCAGCCCGCGTGTGTCCGAGCGACGTCCATGGAGCCCTGCTTCCACTTCCCCCCCAACTACGACTGCGCCACTGGGGCCTTCTTCTACACCAAGAAGGTCCTCCCTTACACGAAGCAGTGCAGAGACAGGAATCCCGGCCTGAAACTTGTCGACAGGAGGAGGAAGACCGGCAGATGACACCACCGGAGGGCGCGGGCCAGTGGGCTGTAGAGCTCAAATGGTGCGTGGTATACATGTAATCTGGGCAGGAAGGAATAAATATACTCTGAATACTATGTCGAATCCATTAGAAGTAAGTATTCTCTCCAAAATTAACAAATATTTTTCAACTCTATGTTCTTGACAATGACTCGGGTCAAATCTTATATGGGATTAGAGTGGCCAAGTCTTAACAGCGATGTGAGTTAGTAGTGGAAGGTTCTAAATGATGGGTCCTCTCAAGCAACGCCAACACACCTCTAATACGCCATTGAACAGCCACTCAAGTCCCAAGAATATTTAGATAAGGACTTTGATCAGCATTCAACTTAAATTACCCTATATTAGATTTGCAACTTATGTCGAGCAAAAAGCTGTAACTAATCCTCTACAATTTGATGTTTCGAATTTTGTTCATATTCATAAATGAATTATTGATATAGTAGTAAATTTCGGAAAAATCTAGAAATGGTCGATATCTTCATTATGAGGCTATCCCATATGCTTTTACAGTGCGTCCATATTGCTTGGAGATTAAATATATGATGACTAGGGGAGATCTGAAATAAATTAGAGCACAACTAATTCTAAGAAATTAAATATATGATTATGCAAATAACCACTCCACAACACATATAGATCAATTGTCAAAAGTGTAGCATACCAATGTCAATTTGTATTTTCTTAGAATAAGAAAGATTTACAAAGAAATCAAATACATAGTGTTGCAAAGAAAGATTTACAATTTGATAATAGACAGATTCAACTCATGTCAAATAAAAGATAATGGGTGATAATTTTTTGTGATTTGGAGATATAACTCTTGCATCCACACCAAGAACAATCGATATCAAAGTGGAGACAAAAATAAAGAAAGATGATTTTCCTAAATCTCTTTTTTCCCATGCCTAAAAATGAAGTTCACTTTCTCAAAGTCAAATGAACACTAATGAGAAAGAGGGAAAAAACTTAGCACTTTGTCCTTTCTCTAAGCCCTTAACTCCAACTTGATATAACAACCTTCCTTCTATATGGAGCTTTTGGAATGCACTAATTTCGAAAAAGCCTCTCTTCTCTTTTTCCACAACTCCTCAATACCTTGAATAGGGGAGGAAAATAAATTTTCCCTTTTCTATTTTTAGGCCTTTATTTTTGGCCCAATATGTTTTGGAGAAGTCTATAATAATATTTTGAACCTTTGGCTTGCCCTAAAAGCTAGATGCATTAAACATCAAAAAAATAAGTCTTAATAGAAATAATTTATATATGATTTTTCTTTCTCAATTTGAGCAAACATTAGCCAATGTTATGTAGTGACAAAATTTGATTGTAGATAAGGTCTTGATCATCATAATAACAACATTATCTTATATATAAATATTTACAATTTTCATATCACATTTTGAAAAATATTTATATATTTTATAAATTTTAATGTCAATTTTTTTTGTCCTTCAATAAAATATTAAATTATTTACAAGACAAATTATATTTTGACTATGACAATATACAAGTAGAACAAACTGATCAATGGCAAACTCCTTCACCAAACACTTAAACAAGAAGACTTCTTTTGTTGAATAAATTGCAATAATATACTTCACTTTAGTAGTGGAGAGTGCAATAACATTTAGAACATCGTCTTCCAACTAATAAAAGTGTATTGAAATTTGTTAACACTTTCTCAATATAACCTTTTTGAGTTATCTACAATCTTATGTTACACATGTCATGTGGAACTTTCATGCCTAAGAATTTATTATTATTATCCAAGTCTATCATTTCAAATTTTAGGCTAAGTTGATTTTTTAGTCTAGTAATTTCACTCATAGATTTATAAGCACTTAACATGTCGTCAACATATAGAATAAGGAGAATAACACAATCATAATTGAAGAAATAAAAATAAATAGAATTATCAGATTTACTTATTGTCTTACTATGTGAAAATAAAAATGTTAATTTTCTTGTACAGTTTACAATGAACTTGTTTTGAATAGTAAAAAGATTTCTTCAACTCACATATCATATTTTTAATATTGTGTAATGAAGCCTTCTAGTTGCAATATATAAATAAAATAATGATTATAAATATAATCATAACTGAAGAAATAAAATTGAATTATCATATTTACTTCTTGTCTGACTATGTGATAGTAAAAAATATTAATTTTTTTGTACCATTGATGATGAACTTGTTTCAAACCATAAAAAAATTTCTTCAACTCACAAATCATAAGCCTTCTAGCTAAAATATATAAAATTTTTCATCTAATTTTTTATATAAGAAAATTTCACATCAAACTATAAATTTAAATCAAACATAATAATTATAACGAGTATAACACAAATTAAATATCACTTTTCCATATGTGAAAATATCATCATAACTAATAACTTTCCTTTGTCTAAGTCTATTGGTTGTTAGCCAAACCTTATATTTGGATAACTTCATTGTTACTAGAGCTTCTTTTTCTTGTACACTCACCTATACTTGATTGATTTCCTACCCTTAAATAATGATACTAATTCTCAATTGTCATTTGATGAAGAGATGTAATATCTTCTTTAATAGTAATCCTTTGTTCATGCACTATGAATTACCTTATTAAACATTTGTAGGATGAGAAGGAGGAATAGGAAATACATAGCTAATAGAATCTGAAATTTTTAATAATATTTTAACTTCTCTCCTTATACCTGTAACAATAGTGTAAGTGCTACTTTGATTTAAGTGTATTGAAGGCTATTAATAAAGGGAAGAATTTTTAAATTTTATATCAGCTCTTTGTGCTTATTCAACCAACTCTACTTTTAATGAAGCTATTGATATCATTGTCACTAGAAGTAGAAGTTGAACTTTTTTCAACATTGATGCTTCATCAAATGTGACATCCTTACTAAGCTTGGTTTATAAGCTAGGAGATTCCATAACCTAAACCCTTTGACACCTATTTTATATCTTAAGACAATAGTTTATTTTGACTTAGAATCCAACTTTCTTCACTCACTATTTTATAACAAAACATGTGCAAAACAACGAAATATGTGTAGATTGGAATAATCTACTAATTTTCATACCAAAATTGTTAAAATGTCTTGACTCTAATTGTTATAGAAGGCAGCCAATTGATTATGTAGTAAGTTATGTTACTAGCTTGACTCCAAAATTACTTAGAGGCCTCTCAAGTGATATTTTATTCATTTGTTCAGCTACATCTTTTTGTAGTTTTATTTTTGTAATACTTAGGTGACAGACTATGTCTTGTTTAGAATATAAGTTTTCAAATTTTGTAGATGATTACTCAGCACTATTAGTGCATAAGACTTTGATTTGCTTATCGATTTATTTTTTCATTTTAACTTTTCAAAGCTTGAAACTATCAAGCACCTCGTATTTGTATTTCAAAAATGAACCTAATATTTTTCGTAACAAAATATTCAATTCTTTTCAATGAGGTGACTGAAGATACAGCTCAAACACCCAAATGAACATTCTTATAAATATATTTACTTCTCTTAGAAGAAGTAAAAAACTTGACCTTGCACTATTTACCAAGAATACAAAATTTGTGTACACCAAATTTTTAAGATATAATATCCTTGAGTAATTTTTATTGTGAAAAGTCCTCTCACTCATATGGTTGAACTTAACATGTCACAATATACTAACATCTTCAATTTCAAAATGAGATGCGGTGACTACATCACCAAATATGGTTGTCCCAAGCAGCTTAATAATGACTTAGTTTTCTCCCCTTCTATAAGAGAAAAATACTCTTTTTGATTTTAAGAAGATAGTTCCCACTAGTATAAGTATAACTATTCCCATCAAGGGTACCTAATGAGATCAACTTTTTTCTCAAATAGGTACATGTCACATTTGTCAAAGTTCTAATTACTCTATCCAACATTTTGATTTCCACTATTCTTATCTCAATAGTTTTACATTTTTTATTATTTATCATCATACTCTTACTTCTATCATGAGGTTTGTATGTGTCAAAATAATCCTTAAATAGACACAAATGATAGGAACAACTTGATCAAAATCTATTTTAGAGTAATTCAAGTTTGAGGAGATTAAATGAACAACTATTTGAGGTTTTGAATCAAACAATGTACTAATCTCCATAGTTAATTCTTTATTCTCTTTTTTTTTTCTTCTTGAGATTAGGACAATCTAATTTCTAAGTACCTACTTTCTTATAGTAGTAATATGCATCATTTCCTTTATCAGCTCTAGATTTCTTCTGCCCTCTATCATGACTCACACTTTTAACAATCAAGCATTTACCACATGTGAAGGCTTTTAATCTGACACCATTAAATAATAATGTTGATTTAAGTTTGTCCATCTTTAAAGTATATTTATTATGTAAAATGGTAATCACAAAATAATTATAGGATAGAGGTAAGGATGTTAGAAGATGACCCGACCTTCAACCTCAAGCTTAACCTCCATTTTGTAAAGCTAATGGCTAAACTTATTTAGATTATTAATATGTTCTAAAAAAATTATCACTTCACTTATATATAAGTTATGAAGTTGTTTCTTCAAATATATTTTTTTCTTAAGTGTGGTCTTTGATATGTACAACATATTTAATTTTTTCCACAAATCAACAATAGTCTCTACCTAAGAAATATTACATATCACTTTATCAAACAAACATAATTGAATAATAATTACTTTCAGATATAAATTATGTTAGTCTTCATCACCTAGTTTTTTCATTTTTTCACATAAAGAACTTTGTGTGAACCTTGTTGGATAAAGAATGCACTCACTCTCTTTTGCTACGAGCCAAAGTCAATTTTATCATCAAATTCTGGAACCTCAAATTTGTCATTTACATCTTTGAACAAATAAATTTGATAAAAAAATTTAGCTTGGCTTTGATAAACTAGAGCACAACTACAAAAAACTAGAAATTAAATCTCTAATAACAAATATATGATTATGTAAACAATCACATTACAACATTATATATATATCAATTGTCACAAATACAACATACTAACCTCAAATTATATTTTCTTACAATAAGAAAATTTCTAAAAAAATCCACAATAAAATGCTGCGAATATTAAAGTAATAATAGTTTTTTTTAATCACCTTGAATAAAAGAAAATATGTAATATATTGTTTGTGTTTTGGAGATAAAACCTCTACATCCACACCAAGAACAATGGAGATCTAAATAGAGTTATAAATAAAGAAAGATAATTCTCTCAAGTCTCATTCTTCTAACTTAAAGACAAAGTTATTAATTTTTGAAGTTAATGAAATTTCAATGAAGAAAAGGAGAAAGACTTACCTATTTCTCTTTTCTCCAAGCCCAAAACACTACTCAAAATAATAGTCTCCCTTCTCCACAAAGCTTCCGAAACTCCCTAATTCTGAAAAAGCTCTCTCATACCCTAAATAGGTAGGAAATGAGCTTTCCCCTTTTCTACTATTGAGCCCTTCCCTTTGGCCAACTGAATTTTGGGGCAGTAAATAATAACAAGAAGTGAGGAAAACCATGCCACATGTGGAATTTATTATTGGTCGATGTTTAGGAAATATACTAAATTGGTCAATGTATACAAATCCCAATGGGCTTTTTGCATTTGGGTCTTAGTGGACCTGGGCCTTGTCTGAATGCGATAAGCTGAATCAATTGATCCAAATCCGGAAAAAGTTCAGGTGCCACGATCTGATTTTACAGATGAATATTTCCGCATTAATCTTATAGATTAATCTATCATTCTCGTATACATATAATAAATTTTAGTAGTATTTTAGTACGCAAAAAGACTTCATTTTTACTCTCTCCGTATTTAACCAGGTTCAGGCCTTTCTGTGCGCCGCCGGGCGTCATCTCCCGTCGTCTTCATCTCATGGCTATAATATTTACTGCCTAAAAAGGCATTGAGTCAAACCCTGCTAAGCTTGCTATCGCCGCCGTCTTCAGCCATTATCAGGTCCCCCAGCGTCCAAGGTTTTTCGCTTGGTGAAAGAGTCTTCCGCAGGCGTGGTGTGGGCGACCAAGTGGGATTTTTCTTAGGGTTTATCGCAGCCGGTGGGGGAGGGAGGGGGTTTGGGGGTGGAGGAAGAACGAGCCATGGGGAAGGTGAACTACAAGCGGCTGAAGGGGGGACAGCAGTTCCGGCAGCGGCTGGTGCTCGCGACGCTCTCCTCAACCCCCATCCTCATCGAGGACATCAGGTCGGACGACATATCCCCAGGTCTCCGTCCTCACGAGGTCTCGCTCCTCCGGCTGGTTGAGAGGATCTCCGATGACTGCACCGTCGAGATTAATGATACAGGTGCGCCCCCCAACAGATATATTCTTTGTCGTTGGATTTTCCTCCTCTTGTTCTGGTCTGATTTTGTTCCTCGCACGTTTCTTGTTCAGGCACGAAGCTGAAGTACAAGCCCGGGGTGGTGATTGGGGGGAAGCACCTGGTCCACGACTGTGGGCTCAGCCGTTCCATTGGTTACTTCTTGGAGCCTCTCATCCTTCTCGGCCTCTTCGGGAAGAAGCCTCTCTCTATCAGACTCAAAGGTTCCACTCAATTCCCCTGTTCCCCACCAGTAAAGCAAGCCTACAAGTTATCTCTTGCTTGCCTGATAAGTATTGGTCCATGGGCACTGCGTAAACTCAACATATGGGTAGCTTTAGCGGATTAATCATGAAAATGGCTAATTTTCTTCAGCTACATTTGTTCATACGGCATGAGATGATCCTGAAATCATTAGCCATTAATCCATTTCACCTCTGCATAATTTTGACCATCTTGCGTGTGGGTTAATCTATGTTCCTTTCACTTTGCCTTTTAAAAGTGAGTACCCCTTCCCCTCTTGGTTATCGAGGTAGTTTCTATAAAGTTGTCCTGTTCGTTTAAGGCTAAAGAGTTTCTTTGTTTCAGGGATCACAAATGACCCCAAGGATCCCTCTGTTGATACATTCAGGACGACGACAATGCATTTGCTCAAGCATTTTGGAGTTCCATTGGAGGGTTTGGATTTGAAGATAGAAAGCCGGGGGGCTCCACCCCTGGGTGGTGGAGAGGTGGTTCTCGGAGTTCCTATTGTTCCGGGTAGCTTGTCGGTGAGTTGTTGGGTTTCCCTCTTCTGAAAGCAATATCCTTTGTCCATCCTTTTTCTTGCCATCTCACCTTTGCGCGTGTACTTTCTCTCATTCTTTCCCTAGGCAGCGAACTGGATTGATGAGGGAATGGTCAGGAGGATTCGAGGTGTAGCATTCTCTACAAGAGTTTCACCTCAGATTGGGAACCGTATGGTTTATGCTGCCCGAGGAATCTTCAATAGCTTTATCCCAGATGTTCACATCTTTATTGACAGTAAATCTGGACCTTCTGGGGGAAAGTATGAGCTTTTCCTTGAATGATATTTTTTGCCCTGCACAGTTCGCTGCTCTTGCTGCCTTATTGACTGTTCTTCCGTTCGCTTGTTGGACATGTCCGAATATTTAGAATCTTAATGTGATCTTGCCATCTTTACTGCCTTCCGTGAATTCCAGCAACTTGTGGTATCTGAGTTTATGATATTGTTGTCTTGGTATATCCAAGATGTTTGATGAAACTCGTTTGTATGTATGTATTCGAGAGATCTTTGCCTTTTGGAGACCCACCTTCCCATATGAACTCAAGAACATGGGTAACGACTTGTTTTTAGCCTTCAAGACCCCAACACGTTTTCTTTTGGTTTGTATACGCCGCAGGTTACATTCTCTCTACAAATGTTAAGGCCCAAGTTTGATAGATGATGCTTAGTCTGTGCTCTCCAATGGATATGTTTTACCTAATGACTCTACTGTAGCTAGTGCTTGCTCAATAGGGCAGTCTCTCATTATCATGGAAGATACCCATATGCTAGAGCTCCTGTAGGAACTGGCAAAGATGGTCAAGGCTATCCGATTTTTCTGCTCCTTTTCCACATGATAATTGAACTTTTAATTGACGACATAAGAAGTCAGCTTTTAGGAGTAGACGCTGAGTACTTATCTTTTTCTGTCTAAAATCCTTTTTTACTTAGTGAGGAAAGTTTCTTACTGTGTCTTACCATACATGAGGCAGGATCATGCAGCTTCGAGTAGGGTAGGGGATTCATATTTCATTACCTCTGCCCTTCATCCTTGGCCTATGCCATTCTATACATTTATACTGCATCATAGAGACAAGATGGCTGTTTCATATTCGCTTTATTAATCGAAGCATAGTTGTAAATTGGCTTCTCCTTCTTGTTGGTCTACCTTTTGATGAATTTAAATGAAACTTTATTTTGCCAGATATTCAAATCCTACTTGATTAAATGAACTTTGGTATTTTTTTTTATGTTAGATCTCCGGGATATGGGATATCTTTGGTCGCAGAGACAACTTCAGGTTGTCTGATCTCTGCAGATTCTGCAGTTTGCTATACGCAAGAGGATTTGGATCACATGAATGATTCTGAAGAGAAGCCCGACCTGTTGCCTCCTGAAGATCTTGGTGTCCGAGTTGCTTCTATGCTGCTTGGAGAAATTGAGCAAGGCGGAGTTGTTGACTCAACACATCAGGTGGGCTGTGTTCTTAGTTCTTTTTATTTTCATTTTCCTGTAGTATGTGTCCTGATCATTGTTTCTCATGATTATTAAATAAAACAATATTAACAATGGAACGCTCTTCCTCTGCTTGAAATTGCCGAACATAATATTTCCCTCTAGATCCATGTTCACTTGAGTATCCAATTCAACAACTGTTTAACAATGCCTCATAAGCATCTGAAAGCCTGTTGAACTCTCCGGTCACCAGAGAACATTGGTCAATTGGAGGGTTCCATTGCGACGGCCCATGTCATTTCTATCTGTGATAAGTTTATATATCTGGTCAAGGGCCACGAGTGATGCATATATATATATATATATGAACATCTAACCGGATGTTTAGAGAATTATGAGAAGAGCGGTCATTCCCTGGTGCTCCATATTATGAAGCAATGATGTTAATGCTCAATTCATATTCATCAGAGAATCAATTCAATGTCCGATAAGTGGCCCCATGTTATTTTTTGGATTCTTGCACTGATTCCATCCTCCGAATTGTCGCAGGGACTGGTGTTCCTCCTGTGCGCTCTGTGCCCTCAAGATGTGTCCAAGGTTCGGGTTGGGCGACTCACCCCATATGGCATCGAAACACTGAGGAACATCCGAGAGTTCCTCGGCGTCAAGTTCGTGATCACCCCCGAGCCAGTGACGAGCACCGTGCTGCTCAAATGCGTTGGTTGCGGCCTGAAAAACCTCTCCAGAAAGGCCTCATGACATGCCGGAGGCGGAGGATCATCCTCTATTGCATCTTCTCCTGCCCAAGGTTTCAAGATTTTGCTACATCTTTTCGTCTTTGTCCATGGAGAGGAAGACGCTCTGGCAAGGGTGATTCTTCCTCTGATCTGCTACCTCAGCATCGTTGTCAAACTCCCCAGCATTAATCTTGGATCTTGGTGACTGATCTTGCCCACAAGGTCATAAATCATCTTCTGATTTATCAGCTAGTCTAAAAAAAGTAGAGTCCTTGCCCTGCATGGGGGCCCTGTTCATGTGGAAGTTTATTAGACACGAAATTCGTTCAAAAGGCCCGCCTTGAAAACAGTTGTTGGTCGCATAATGTTGCCTATATTATCATCACAACGTCTATAATCCATCAATATATATTTGTTTTTATGAGGAGCCCTGTACGCCGTGGATTATTCGCAGAGATGAGGATAGATGAGCTACTTCTAGCGTGGGCTCGCATTGTGTATTGCGAGAAAAAGGGAATCTAAAAGGAAAGTAATTTAGATTCATGGCATGCTTTGGTGAGCTTTACGAAAAGTGGTTCGTTGGCGAATCGAGGTGACGGGGGGGGGAGCTACTGAGGGATGGTGGATTGGCTGCCGTGCTCTCTCTATTCTCGGCAGGCAGGCAGAGGGAAACCCACCAGCGGCGCCTAGATGTCTCGGAATCAGGGGGTTTGTCGAGGATGGGCTTCAAGCTCCTCCCATCTTTCCTCTACGGGCGATTGCGTTTGTTGACATGGCGTTCCACGAGCTCCCGCTTCTCCTCCTCTCCCTGCCCCGCCGCTGCCGCCGCCGCTTCTGAGGTGGCCGGAGCGTTTTTTGGATCCCGTCGAGTTCATCAGTGTCTCACCGCCGGCCTGAAACCTGCCTTTTGGCAACCCCAGGATGGCTTCCACCGGGAAGAGCTGGATTCCTCGCCCGAGCTTTACTCTGGCGCCGATGTCTTCCGGCGAGGCTCCTCACGGGAGTTTCGACAGGTGACTCCTGAGGGCTATGCACAAGTTGTCGTGAGACTGGTCATGGCGGGGGATGCTCAAGGAGTGGAGGCTCGCGTGAAAGAGATGGTCAAGGCCGATCTCCCGAATATGGAGGAGGTCCTGGGCTTCCTGGTGAGTGGGTTCTGTGGAGAAGGAAGGCTGTCAGACGCTTTGAGGGTTTTTCGAGCGGCGTGCTCGGAGGGCCGTTTGCCATCAATTTCAGTATGCAATGGCCTCATGGATTCTCTTCTGGCTGAGTGGGGAGATCTCAACTCTCTTGTGTTTGTATATAAGGAAATGGTCAAAGGTGGTGTTGTACCCAGTGTGGATACCGTTAATTGTCTTATTGAGGCGCTGTTCCGAACTGGCCATGTCGACGCAGCAATAGACCAGTTCCGCAGGATGAACAGGAGGGGATGTGTGCCAAATAGCAAGACATTTCAGACTGTGATGTTGAATCTTTGTGTGAATGGTCGTGCTCAAGAGTCCTCCAAGGTTTTAGATGAGATGATCGAATGCAGATGTAAACCTGATCCTGATTTTTTTGGTAGCATTATGCCTCTTTTACGCAAGTTTAATACATCAATTGAAGCAAAGAAGCTGTTTAAAATGATGAGAGCTTTTGGTGTTCTTCCGGATCTGTTTATCTACTGTGATTTGATTCACTGCTTATGTGAGAATGGAGAACTGGACGATGCAGCTTACCTTGTTGAAGAAATGTCAGAAATGGGCATAGCTCCTGACATCGATGCGTATGTTTCCGTCGTAAATGGGTTTTGCAAAGTTGGTAGATTTAATGAAGCTACTATCTTTCTAGAGAGTAATGATGTTTTTGAGCCTCAACCTTACAATGCCCTGCTCAAAGCTTACTGCAGTGAGGGAAGATTTCCTCATGCGGGTAATTTTCTAACGAAGATGTTTGAAAATGGTGTTGGTGACAACATTTCGTGGAATATTCTAACAAGGGCACTTTGTGATTCAGAAAATCCTAGAAAAGCATCAGAGGTTCTCAGTAGGATGATCACCTCGGGATATCTGCCTGATGAAGTGGCTTTTTCCTCTCTTATAGCTGGTTACTCTAAAGCTGGTGAGATCAGCAACGCATTGCTGTGTTTTCAGCATGTTCTTGCTGAATCATGGGTCTTGGATTCCGAATCCTACTCGAGTTTTATTCATGCTCTTTGTCATGAGGAAATGATTCAAGAAGCGATGGATGTTTTCTATTATATGTCTGGCAAAGGCCATAGCCTCCCAGCAGCATCACTTAACTTACTCATTTCTCATATCTGCTGGAAGGGATTGATTACTGAAGCCATCAAGCTGCGATCAATTTCGTTCTGCAATGGATCACCTTCTAGCTCTACCACATTCAACTCAATCATCCTCAGATTGTTGGAATTGAAGAGACCACAGCATGCTCGAGTGCTCTTCTCACAGATGTTAGTGGAAGATTGCGCATTAGATGTCAAAACATATTGTCTTTTGATCAGAGGGCTGTGTACCACAGGCGGGACAAAAAATGCCATGCTCTTGTTTGCTCAGATGATCAACAGCAATCTTGCCCCAGATTCGGAAACAACAGTTGCCCTTTTGAATTGCCTGGAAGAGTGTTCTCAAATGCATAAAATCGTTCATTCATTAGATAACCTGGTTGAGCAAGGACAGGTCCTTTGCTCTCCGGCATACAACATAGTCATTCGTGCATTATTGAAAGAAGCCCATAAGGACGAAGCCTGCAAATTCTTGGATCAAATGCTAGAACAAGGTTGCGTTCCAGATGCAGATACACATGGATTACTAGTTGGAAACATTGGTGGAGAAAGAAAAGACAAATCACGTCAAACAGGGACTACAGATGATAGTGTGACCAATATCTTGGTGGAAGGACTAACAGATGCTAATGAACATATTGTTGATGAATGAAAGTTTCTGTTGTATTGCTGCATGCTTTCTCTCTCTTCCTGGTATCACAAAATTGAGATTCCTCAAAACCGGGGTATCTGCGATTAAACAGATATCTCAAAAATCTAATTTACTCAACAATGGTTGATGATGGGTGGAGGGGAGGGACTGTAAATCTCTTACAAAGTTTATAATTCTTGGGATTTTCCCTGTTACAGTCTATTAATTATGGCGGCCATTCTGCAAACAATGCACAGTTTTAAATTACAATATGAATGAGACAGAGAATCCCTTGAGGATATGAACTTTATTAGCCTCTCTACTGCCAACTTATTTGTTTCTGTGGAACTTGTTTACGCCCTTTTAATGCCACCAACACACTTTCAATCTATATCTTTTCCATCAGATTATGGGAATCTTCATTTAGGCTCTCCATCTATTCAGAATCTCCATTATGCGATATTTTATCTTTCATTAGCTGCATATGCTTCTTTGTGATTATTCTCTTGGAAGGAAGAAGAAATCTTGCCACGTTGTAAATAATCTAGCAGTGAGAACACTGGGAGTTCTTCTTTAGAAAAACATATTTCAGGATGCCAACTGACATGAATGATCTCAGGACGTACTCAATTCTGCTACCCCGCCATCTCCCTCCAAAAAAGAAAGGAAAGAACATTCCTGCTTTATTCCATCTTTGTTTATGCACCCTGGTGGAAGAAATCTAAGCATTCCCTTTGAAGTAGAGCAGTCGGAAATCCTAGACCCTATATACTAAGAAATGGCTTTACTGCACTTCCCCTAAATTGGAGGACATGGTGCCGACAAGATGATTTCTCTGGAGTTTTATTGATATTAGGACTTTCCGTTTGAAGTCAACGCAGTACACCCAGGTTCGTGTAAAGTTGACTGAAGTGGGCAAATTTGGTGGAGGTACACCTTTTGAGATGAACGTTGGCCAAGTATAGCGAAATACAATGAAATTCTGCAAACTGACAATATTCGATGGATCTAGCTGACTCGAATCAGCTGGGTCGAATTTGCCATCATTGGCAAAAGTTTGTATAGAGTTGATTGAGATACGGCCACGTGGATGAATGCTGGCCAATTATAGCAAAATAAAACGAAGTGATACCACTAAAACTTAGTTCATGACAACTGATTGATGTTTGTCTGTAGTTGATTGAACTACTTTTGAGTGGACGAACTTGGGGGTTGTAACGTCTCTGGTTAGTTGGATATTTTCAGTATGTTATTATAGATTGTAGAACTGTGTGGTAAATCGTACGTTTGACAGTGTATTAGATTTTATGCGAAATAAAAGCATACTATAATATTTATTATTATTATTATTATCGATATCCCCTTGCAATTATAGGGCAAGGGCATGCCTAGGGATTACCTTAAACCCCCTCTCACTATATTAAATGGACAGTATGACTCATTACCTCATGTTACATGCGTGTTACCTGTCTCTTAAGGAAGGAGAAGAGAGAGACAGACAGAGACGGAGGGGGGAAAAGGGAGATTGTGGGGGGGAGTCGGACAAAGAGAGAGATAGGTGAGGGACAGTGACTTGTCATCTCTTCCCCTTTCACTGACTATATGAAATAGAAAGAGCTCATCACATGGAGGCGTCTCCTGCAGCTGTTTGACAAGGGCTTCTCTCTAGCATTAAGTAGGTCCTGCACTATACTATACCTTTGTCTCTTAGGGCTTCTTGAGATGAAACTTTTGTCCTTGAAGACTCCATTTCCTCATGCTCTACATTTGGATCATGCATTAGTCTGAGTTTTTTTTTTATAATATTTTCTATCACTATGATTCAAAGTTCAACAAATGAAGAAAATTAGGAATAAATTTCTAGTTTTTTTTAAGATTTCAATAATGTTTTGCATTCAACTCTATTCATATCATGACGAGACTTGTATAGATTTACATTCATTTTGGTATCTATCTGAAAGTACTTGTCATAATAGTTTGATAACCTTCACTGCCTTTGGAGGAGCTCACTGCCATCAATTACATCGAATATCTCTTAAAACAGAAGTATCTGTATGAGTAGTGATCTCTGTTTTTAATATAAATTTACATTTATATTGGAACTGATCTGGGTAAATCTTTTCTCTATAATTCATATACTTTGGATGTTTTCATACGGCATGTATTTTGGTACAAGTTTCATAAAAGAACAAGAATAAAAGGCTATTTCATAAAAGGACATTGAAGCAGCTGTTTCTTGAGGTGCCAAGACTTTGGTGGAGGCCATCTTATTGTATCTGGATCTATTATTCCAATTATTCTTGTTCTTGAGAACCATACATCCAATTGGTTTCTCTTTTCAAACTGATAGATACCTTGTGAACCTGGATTCTGAATTTTCACACTATATCGATCATGGTTTCTCAAAGCTTATAACTTTACATAAAAACGTTTTGCAATCATGCAGAGAGATTATTTAAATGTTATTATTTTATGATAACCATGCCATTTTCATGCAAGAAAAAAATTGATTATTTTCCCATATCCTGTTTAGGATCGCTGTTTCTACTCAGGGCTACCCTTATACGTACAACTTTCTACTAGGCGCAGCCATGTTTTAATTTTTATGCATTTTTTCAAAATAATTTAAATCACCTTCCCTTGAGACCCATGATGCAGAGGGTTTTTTTTCTATATATATTTTATATTTCCATCATTTTTTTTATTGCGCGTACCAGTTTATACATATCTTCCAGCCTTAGTGAAGCAGCTACAGCAGGTGTTCTTCGGTTTCTTTTTTTTTTCTTTTTTTTAAATTGTGGATATGATCGTTTAACAGCAGGAAATATGATCACAATAGCAACTAAAATACAGATTTTTAAAAAATCCATTAATCTTATAAAACTCATAAAAAAATCCTTGTGTTATTGTGTTTTTTTTCGGAAATTACTTGTGACAAAAATTAGGTCTGAAAATGATATAAATAGTCAGGTTTTAGGCTTTCACTTGCACTTTTTGAAAAATATTTAAGTTGGGTATGAAAATATCTCAATGATTTTGGTTGACTATACCTCATAGGGGATGAAGTGGGCCCAAGGCCCTGCCTAGCTGCGCCAAATTTATGCCGTGGTCAAAGCCAGAAGCTCTCTCTCTCTCTGTCTCTTCCGTTTCCTCCCGTTTCTGGCAGCCACGTGGCTTCTAGCCTCTGCGTCGAACTCGTTCATTCAGTTCAGAGGCGACACCGCAGTACTAAACTCTGCCACAAAAGAAGACGCCCTCCCAAAAGCAGAGAGAGAGAGAGAGAGAGAGAGAGTAGAGAGGGGAACCGTGCCAAATCGACGGTTCCCTATCGTCCCCCAGGGCCAAGGAGACTCGTCAACAATTCAACCGTTGTTTTCGACACGTGCACCGAATGCGCATTAATTATGAATTCTGCTCCTCTCACAAGCCCCCGACAGCTCAACTGGGATCACCACTGTGACAACGGCAGGCTCTCCCTCCCTGTCTATCTCTGATTCCTCTCTCCTCCTCTGAGATTCTCTCTCTAGGATCGCCCGTCGTTGACAAAAGCTCTCTCTCCCTGTGTGCCACCCGCTCCCTCCGCTCATCCTCTCCAACTACGGACTTCGGCTGGCTTGTCGTCCAAGTTTTTCAATTCCAGCAGTGGAGGAGCCTCATCAGACGCTGCTGCCGCCGTTGCGCCGGCCAGAGTGGTTCTGGTTGCGTTCCCGAGCGTTTCTGAAGCCCAGATCTGCAGTTCCGGGGGAATTGCGGTCCTTCTGTATTCTGTTCCTACCCAATCGATGGTCCCTCAGGGATCTCGCTCCTGGATGGCATTTTTGGGGGCGGCGGCCTCCGGAAGAGCCGATGATGGATTCCTGATCCCTAGCCATTACGGAATGCGGGTGGAAGTGCTGTGACGAGAGAGGAGTTCCCCTTTTGTTCGAGATCTGTGGCTTCCAGGTACAGAGGACTCGGATCCCCTCCCGTCACTTCCTCTCTCTCTCTCTCTCTCTTTCTGCATTTTCTCTTCTCCCACAATTGCCGCCTGCAAGATTGAAAATGTGGTCGGAGAGATCGCTGCATTTTCTCTTCTCCCACAATTTCTCTTCCTGGCCTTCGGTGTTCTTTTTTCTTCTCCTTCCCTCCGCAACCCTCGTGAAAATCAGATGTTATTGTCGGGATTGTCAGCTGCACAGAAAACCACAATTCCACCTCGGAAAAGGGACTCACAGACGGGGTCGTCAGAGAGGAACAGACTTGAGTCCATTATTCCCCGCAATTGCAGGAGGCTGACCTAGAGAGTTCAATCGATGAGCTTCTGTCTGGTTCTATCAGATGTTTCTCTCATTTTCTGTGAATCTTTATCTTTCGAGCCCACCGCATCTACTGCCAGGCAATGTTCATAAATCTCTGGAGAATCTCTTCCCTGTTCAGAACATCCGGGTGGTACCTATAGATCTACCTGAAGCTTCAATTCCCCGCTCTTCTTCATTTCAGGGGCAACACCCTCAGATGAGAGATGTCCGACTCTGGAACCTCCCTTAATTCGCACCTATCCAGGAGGACACCCCTCCTCGGTCTCAAGATATGGGTCCTGATCGGAGTCGGCGTCGGCGCCTTCATCGTGGCCATTCTCTCCATCTTAGCCATCTGCTTGACAGCAAGGAGCAGGAGGAAGCTCAGGGCTTCAGGTAAGCCTCCTAACACCCGGATTCCCGCAATCCCGGAGGAAATCAAGGAGGTGCGCGTTGACTCTGCTGCGCATGAACGGATCATCCTCGACGCTGACCGCAAATTCAACGAGGAAGCGTCCCAGTTGGGGTCGTCTCGCTTCGGCTCATTCTATCATGCTGACAATGGTTTTGCTGAAGAATGGCGCTTCTCTGGCGCCGCCATTGATGCTGGAGAGCAGTCACTGTCACACCCCCCACAGGCAGGCCCCTTGGCAGGCCTTCCAGAGCTCTCCTTCCTCGGCTGGGGCCACTGGTTCACACTGAGGGATCTGGAGAACGCCACAAGGCGTTTCTCCAGGGACAATGTTCTCGGGGAGGGCGGTTATGGGGTTGTTTACAGAGGAGAACTCATCAATGGGACTCCAGTGGCGGTCAAGAAGCTCCTGAACAATCTGTATGCTCTAACCTTCCTATTTCTTCATCGCAGTCTACAATCCCGTTGACTTTTGAAACTTCTGCTATCACTATCCAGGGGACAAGCTGAGAAGGAATTCAGGGCAGAAGTCGAGGCCATTGGCCATGTCCGGCACAAAAATCTAGTGCGCCTTCTTGGCTACTGTGTGGAAGGCACTCAAAGGTGCATTCTCACCCCGCTACTCTCTCTCTCTCTCTCTCTCTCTCTCTCTGTGGGCACATCTCCAGAATCAACGTCAACGAAAGTCAAAGTTGAGATCGAATTCCTGTCCATCATCTTCCGCTGATATGAACTAGAAGCATGACTGATCGATGAACTTGATCTCTGCCTGTTTGGGATTGTGCAGGATGTTGGTTTACGAGTACGTGAAGAACGGAAATCTCGAGCAGTGGCTTCATGGCCCAACGCGACAGCACGGGTTTCTGACGTGGGATGCTCGGATTAAGATCCTCCTGGACACTGCCAAAGCGTAATCCCACTCCCCAGTCCCCAAAAATAAGAAATAATAATAATAAAAATAAAAGATCTGCAGGAAGAATGATTTTGTCGGATTATTATTCGCCCCCAATTCTCAGAATATTGATTATTCGTCCCTGTCTGAGGCAGTCTGGCATACTTGCATGAAGCTATCGAGCCGAAGGTGGTGCACCGGGATATAAAGTCGAGTAATATCCTGATCGACGACGAGTTTAATGGCAAGGTGTCCGATTTCGGCCTCGCGAAGCTGCTGGGAGCTGGAAAGAGCCACGTCACCACTCGGGTGATGGGAACCTTTGGGTATCTGTCCCCATCTTCCTAAGCTCGAAGACAAAGAGAACCGGGCTTTTCCAAAGAATGAGCCGTGTGATTCCTCCGCTGACTCCCCTCCGTTGACTTTCAGCTACGTGGCGCCAGAGTATGCGAACACAGGTCTGCTCAATGAAAAGAGCGACGTTTATAGCTTCGGGGTCGTTCTGTTGGAGGCCATCACCGGCAGAGATCCCGTTGACTATGGCCGCCCCGCCAATGAGGTATATACAGAGATCACCCTCCTCTCTTCCTCTTTAACTGGTCTTCGACGAATCTTGCGGTTTCATCTTCCTCGAGAGTTGACTTTACGGGTCAGCAGCTTTTCGACGGGAGTATTTTTGTCACTCCACGTGTCGTGACGTCCTTGTAAACTGTAGGTCAACCTTGTGGAGTGGCTGAAACTGATGGTCGGGAACCGGCGGTCAGAAGAGGTGCTGGATCCGGCCATGGCGACTCGACCATCTACGAGATCCCTTAAGCGAGCCCTCCTGGCAGTCTTGCGGTGCGTTGACCCGGACGCGGAGAAGAGGCCGAAGATGAGCCAGGTCGTCCGCATGCTCGAACCCAATGGCCCGATCCCGCGCGAGGTTTGAACCCTAACCGTATCCCACGCTTTTGCCCCTCTTGCCCTTGTCGTCTAACCTTCCTGAGCACGGGTAGGATCGGAGGCGGCGGAGTCGCCGCCCGGGGAACGCGGAGAGTGAATCTCTCAAGGGCATCTCCGACACGGAGATGAGCGACAGCTCCGAGGCTTGCAACCAGTGAGGCATCTCCCTCAGGTATGCTGGAGATCACAAAACCGTAGCTTTTCTTGCATTTGCCCTGCCCGTCTATCAGCTATGGCAGCCCCGACAGAAAGCAAGCCCCCAGAATCATATGGGGCTCTCTTCAGATTCGAAGGAATCAACAGATTCCTCAGCAACTCACTCCCTTCAACCTCGCACCACTGTCCTTGAGCGAATGAATATCTAAGCCCAGATTTATCCTACTTGGACCATATCTAGCGAGCAAGTAGCTGCAGATGGTCAGCCGACATAAATTTCAGGGGAGGGGACATGTGGGCCGAATGGGCTCGCTAAATTAGTCTGCCTCGGCCCGGATGTCCTTCGTCTGGGGAGTCACCCCCTTCCTGGGTCCGGAAAGATAAGCCCCTGGAATCATGGGGCTCTCTTCAAATTGTAAAGAGCTCCTAATTCCACAGAAACTCACTCCCCTCAAACTCGCAGCACTCTCATGGAGCGAACATCTAAGCCCAATTTAGGGCCCGGGAGAAAAAGCCATACAGAACCCGGGGCTCATGCGTGCTCTGCGCTCCCCCGGCGGCGTCGCCGCTTGGGCCTCCTCCGACCCGGGGGCGGCGCTCGCCGCGCTGAAAGCCCTTGCCGAGGCCCAGGAACTGAGTAGCGGCAAAGCCGTCCACGGCCGCCTCCTCCGCGCGCGCGCCCTCGGCCTCGTCCACGGCAACGCTCTCATCCATCTCTACGCCAGTTGCGGTCGCACCTACCTTGCCCGCCGCGTGTTCGACGCATTGTCCCTCAGGAACGTGGTCTCCTATGGTGCCCTCATGGCGGGGTACCTGCACGCGGGTCTCCCCGCCGCGGGGCTCGACCTGCTGCGGCATATGGACCTAGCCCCCGCGCGCCCCAACGAATTTATCTACGCCACGGCGCTCGCCTGCTGCAGCGACGCCGGCACGCTCCGCACCGGCGAGCAGTGCCACGGGCGGGTCCTCAAGGCCGGGCTGGGGACCTTCCCCTACGTGGGTAACTCCCTCCTCTGCATGTACTTGACATGCTCCGGCGTCGAAGACGCGGCCAGAGTCCTCTCCGCCGCAAGTCCCGATGTGTACTCCTGCAACTCGATGATCAACGGGTACGTCGACCAAGGGCGGTTTGGCGACGCCATGGCCGTTCTGGGTCTCATCCTCGCGGAGGTCGACCAGTGGGACCACGTCACCTTCCTCGCTGCCCTCGGTCTCTGCGCCGGCCTGAAGGATTTGAGGCTTGGTACGCAGATCCATGGCCAGGCCTTGAGGAGAGGAGTCGAGGGAAACATCTTCGTGGGCAATTCCGTCGTCGATATGCACGGGAAATGCGGGGAGGTGGGGGCGGCGTGGCGGGCCTTCTGCGAATTGCCGGATAGGAATGTAGTATCGTGGAGCTCGATCATGGCGGCCTTCGCCCAGAACGGCCTCTTCGAAGAAGCTCTCAGGCTGTGGCCGGAGATGGAGGAGGACGGAGTCCGCCCCAACGACTTCAGCTACGCCATCGTGCTGGCCGCCTGCGGCGGTCTCTCCGTCCTCAGACACGGCGAAGCCCTGAGTGCCCACGCGGAGAAGACCGGTTTCAGAGGGCACTCCCTGGTGGAGAACGCCCTCATCAACATGTACGCCAGGGGAGGCAGCATATGGGACGCGCACAAGACGTTTGCTGGAATGCGCCGCCGAGACACCGTCTCCTGGAACTCAATGATTTCCGGCTTCTCCCAGCATGGCCTGGGTGGAGAGGCCCTGAGGGTCTTCCACTGGATGTCCATGGAGCGAGCCCCCACCACGGCGGTCACCTTCGTTGGAGTCCTCTCTGCCTGTGATCGCCTGGGCCTGGTCGACGATGGCTTCCGCTACCTGAACCAGATGGCTGATCAGATGGGGATCTCCCCCACTGTGGAGCACTACACCTGCATAGTGGGGCTCCTCAGCAGGGCGGGCCGCCTGGAAGACGCTGAGAGCTTCATGAAGACGACTGAGGCCGAGTGGGACGCCGTCGCGTGGAGGACTCTCCTCTGTGCCTGCCTCATCCACAAGAATCATGGCCTGGGTAAGAGGATCGCCAAGCAGATCCTCCACCGCAACCCAAACGATGTGGGAACCTACGTCCTGCTGTCCAACATCTACGCCAGATCGGGAAGTTGGGACGGCGTCTCCGAGATCCGGAAGCTGATGCGGGCAAGGGGGATCAAGAAGGAGCCGGGGAGCAGCTGGATCCAGGTGCGGAACCAGACGCACGTCTTCGTCTCCGGCGACAGGGAGCACCCGAGGGCGGATGAGATCTACACCAAGCTCAGGGATCTGCTGGCTGCGATAAGGCCGCTGGGGTATGTGCCGGACCTCGACGGAGTTTTCCACGACGTCGAGGACGAGCAGAAGGAGGAGTGCCTCAGCTTTCACAGCGAGAAGCTCGCCGTTGCCTTTGGGATCCTCACCATGCCACCCACGGCGCCGATCCACGTGATGAAGAACCTCCGGATCTGCGACGACTGCCACACAGCTCTCACACTCATCTCACTTGCCGCAGCGAGGACGGTGGTGGTCCGCGACGCCAACCGCTTCCACTGCTTTGAGGACGGCCGGTGCTCCTGCGGCAGCTACTGGTGACCAGAGGGGTTGGGAGATTTGCACCCGTCGGGGTCCGCCGACTTAACCTTGAATCTCATGCGCTGGGGTCTGCCGATGTCGTGCCGTCACCAATGCCAATGCTGCGTCAGGTGCCCCAGTGGCGTGGAGGACGGCATCGAAGGATGCACGTGGCATGGAGTATGTTTGCGGCACGGCGGGCGTGTGCAGTGTAGGAGCGCACTCCATGCGTAGCAGGAGCCCATGGCATAGCCGCCATGCAAGGCATGAGTGCGCATGGCACGGCGGGCATGCATGACGAGGGACGCGCGTGGGAGGTTGGGCGCCGCAGAAAAGCTGTAACGCCACTTGGGCAATAAGCGGTGTGAGAGTCAAGGAGAGTGTAATGACTAGTTGGCGTCCTGCTACTAGATTGGGGGGCAATGCCCATTGTATGAACTTTTAAGAAGAAATACATGAAGGTCTGGACATTTTGCCATTGGGGGAGTGTGGGATGACTGGTTGGACACTGAGGAATCATGCAGAGCCAACACTTAAGAATCTTAACGTTTGGCAACTGGTATTAGAGCATAAAATAAGTAAAGCCCAAGGAAGATAATGTGCAAAGGAAGAGGAGCTCAAGGCCTGCAGCTTGAAAGATAGAGTAGCAGCTCGGTGAGACATTCGAGGAGATTGAGGAGCGATATGAGCTCCTAAAGTGGGAGCAGGAAGCGACAAGGTTGTAACCCAAATGCTCGCCATCAAAGTGAAGGAGCTATGTCGGATGGCCACCAAGAGGTGGGTAGTGGCGGAGCTTGGGCAGAGCAGAGGAGTGTCGAAGAAGTCACCAAAGAGGGCATATGAGACTTGTCAGCCAAGTTCAAGTTGGTCAAGGGACCGATTTGAGCTCCTAAAGTAGGAGCAGGAAGCGAAAAGATAATAAGCCCAAACTCTCGCCAGAAAACCGGAGCTATGGCAGACAGCCACCAAAGAGGTGGGTGTTGACGGAGCTTGTGCAGAGCACGGGAGTGTGCAAGATATGAGACTTGTCAGCCAACTTCAGGTTGGTCAAGACTATCTGATGCGATCCTCGCCGTAATCAACCTCACAAGGAAAGTGCATCCCTCCACAAGGCGAGGAAAGCAGGAGATATGGCAAGTCAGTCAAACCGAGGTAGGAGGGGAGTTTATTGCAGCAAGTGGAAATACAGGAAATGAAGTTACGGAAGCTACAACGGGAGGAAATCCGTCTATAAATCACAGTAGAATCGGAGGAAGGGACGAACTTCCATAGCAGGAGGCCAATCCCCTCGAAGCGATCACCAACCATCGAGGTTCTACGGAGCTCGCCGCCCTCTCTGTAGTAGCTCGGTCTTCCCCTTTGCCTTCTTCTCCTTCATTTCCCTTCTGCAGTCGTCGGAGTCCTCGAGTGCGCTCGATAGTGGTTTGTTCCCTTTGAATTTAAAGTTCAACTCTTTCCCTTCTTTCCCTTCCCTATTTTCCGTATTGATTATTTTATCCACGAACCGGGGCCCCATCATTATCCCACACGATGAATCAGACATCCTCATGGAATAAATTCCTCGTGGCTGCTGCAAAGTTCAAGGTCATCACTCTGTAGATTCAAGGGTTGAAGGCTCTAATTCTATGAATTTAGAATTTGATTTCTTCTTCTTGGCTTATGTTTTATGAATTCAAATCTAGATTTTATTATTTTCCATATTAGCATTGTGTCACAATGCCCGTCACCCTTATCAAAAAGTCTTAACAACGTGGAACCCCATGAACCTCCCATGGTCATTAATTAAATTTGTTGGCTAAAATGCTTTAAGGATAATACCTTAATGATTCAACTTCTTATAATGGGCACCACCAATGAAGTTAATGGGCCAGCCCACTTAACCTTGCAGGCCACTTGCCTGTGATGTCGTACGCCACACCTGTGCCAGCCACGTGTGCCCACATCCTCCACACCCACCCCTGCAACATCATACATACGTGTTGTGCCGACAACTTTTTGCATGTGCCCATATGAGCACTCTAGTATGCACTCCCCTATGCCATTCTGTGCCACACCATGCTATTATCAAGCTAACAACCACCGAAGTTCAAAAGGAACCTCACCTGCTCCAGTGTTGTGGCACTGTCGTGCCGACCCTAAGCCATCATCGTGCTAATAGCACACCATGCCGTGCCAATGACCAGCAAGGTTCAAGACGAGCCCTCGTGAACCTCGCCCCACCCTGACGAAGTCCACCACGTCCCACATGGGTCTGACCTCACGCTCGCACATCTCCTGCACTCCGGCGCATGGCACCACACGCTCGCGCACACACACTGTCGGCCTGTGTGGATGCCATGCCTTCTCACCTGTCGTGCATGTACGCATCCCCCCCAAGCGAAGGATTTGACATCATAGCTAGTAGGCATCGAGACGACATTTGCTGGGGAGCAAGACATACTTTTAATCCAGGTCGACGACTCGCCTAACTCGCCAACGATAGGCAGAAGGAATATTTTTTTCCGAAGTTGCAGGGTTTTCCCACTGGTAGAAGATGAGGAAATAACGGGAGGGGCGAGACAAATATGTTTTTTAATCCAGGGGACAAAATTCTAAGCTCTGTTTTTCCGAGGCAAATGGATGGAAGAAGAAAACCCAAAAGGGAAAAATAGAGTGGAAAAGGTAGAAGAACAGAAGCAGGGCACAGGATTAGAAAAGCTAGCAACAGAGCAGCGATAGCGATGGTGAGTTGCGCGCTTGCGGCAAGGCCGTCTACGCCGCGGGCTTCTCCCACTTGAGGGGCTTGACGACTTCCCAGGTGAAGTCGGGTTCGTCGCGGCCGAAGTGGCCGTAGGCGGCGGTCTTGAGGTAGCGGTTGCCTCCCCTCTTCAGGTCGAGGTTGATTGTGATCATACCTGGTCGGAAATCGAAGTTCTCCTTGACGATCTGCAGGATCTCCTTGTCGGAGATCTTGCCGGTGCCGTAAGAGTCGACGAACACCGAGAGGGGCTCTGGCACGCCGATGGCGTAGGAGACCTGCACAATGCAGCGGCGGGCAAGCCCACTGGCTACCACGCTCTTGGCGGCCTGGCGCACGACGTACGCGCCGCTGCGGTCCACCTTGGTTGGGTCCTTGCCGGAGAAGGCGCCGCCGCCGTGAGCTCCCCAGCCGCCGTAGGTGTCGATGATGATCTTCCGGCCGGTGAGGCCAGCGTCGCCGTGCGGGCCGCCAATGACGAACCGCCCGGAGGGGTTCAGGTGGAAGATGGTCTTCTCATCGAGGTACTTCTCGGGAATGACGGGCTTGATGACGTGCTCCTTGAGGTCGGCGGCGATCTCATCGTTGGTGACGGTCTCGTCGTGCTGGGTGGAGATGAGGACGGTGTGAACGCGGAGGGGGACCATAGCCCCGTGGTCATTCTGGTACTCCACGGTGACCTGGGTCTTGCCGTCGGGCCTGAGCCAGGCGCAGGTGCCGTTCTTCCGGACCTCGGTGAGGCGGGCGCCGAGCTTGGTGGCGAGGACGTGGCTGAGGGGCATCAGCTCGGGGGTCTCGTCGGTGGCGTAGCCGAACATGTGACCCTGATCGCCGGCGCCGATGTCCTCTGGGCGCTTGGTGAAGTGGCCGTGGACGCCCTGGGCGATATCGGGGCTCTGCTGCTCGATGTTCACAAGCACCTTGCAGTGGTCGGCATCGAGACCCACGTCGTCGGAGACGAAGCCGATCTCGCGGCAGGTGTCGCGCACGATCTTCTCGTAGTCGACGTTGGCCTTGGTGGTGATCTCGCCGAAGACCATGACCATGTTGGTCTTGGTGCAGGTCTCGCAGGCGACCTTGCTATCGGGGTCCTGGGCCAAGCAGGCATCGAGGACGGCATCGGAGATCTGGTCGCACAGCTTGTCGGGGTGACCCTCGTTCACGGACTCGGAGGTGAACAGGAAGGTGTCCATGGCTTGAATCGAAGCTACCTACGCACAAGAAGATCCAAGAGAAGATCAACATTACTATTGCGATGTCCGATCACAAAACAAGATCTGAAAAGTAAACCAAGAGAGAGACTAAAAAATTCTAAGCTTTAAATCGATCTGAAGGCAAAAAATGCACAAGGGAGTTCCCATTTTCACCCTTTGGTGGATCCACAAAACATTCCCAGCTCTCTCCCTATTTGTACCACACTAAAAATATGGACACCAATCCCGAGGGGAGAGTAAGCAAGCAAGAGCATAGAATCACTAGCAAGGGAATTAAACGAATCGGAGAGATGTCCGTAGTCAGACGGTGACGACAGCATCTACCTGACATACCGGCCTAGAAGACTCTAAATGACAACAACACCGTTAGTTATGGCAGTGTACAGGTACCGAATAGTGAACGAAGACACCGGGCAAGGCGTGACAGCTGGAAAACCAGTTCTCCGAATGTTCACAGAGATTTTGGGGTGCATACAAATAATTAAACAACACAGAACGGGAGGATCTGCTATACCCAACCATGATCTAAATGTCGCGGAAGTCATCATAGGTAGGAAGACCCTTGAGGTCTAAGGATTCAGGTGAACGACCGTCGACATCCGGTAATATTGGATTTCGAAGCCTTGAATTGGCACAAATATCGAAATACGTAGAACAAAACTGAACAAAAATGGCCAATTTCTTCGTTCGATCCACCGTCGCGGAAAGGCTCCTCAAGTCGGACAGATCTGAGTCTAATTAAGGCAACCTGGAGACATCAAATCGGATATAGCAACCGAACTCTCTTACAACAAACGTACTAGCTTTTCCCCTCAAATCAACTTAAAAAATCGCAGATCTGCCCGGAGCAGCAGGCAACCAGATCCAGATCCATAAAAACCCCAGCCTTCCCAATGAGAACCCAAGAGGTGATAACCCAACAGCGACAGGAACAGACTCTTTAACAGAGACATGGGACCAAAACACACTAAACACTAGGAAAAAAACCACCGAACCTTTAGAACGGAAATAAAGAGAAAAACATACGGATCGAAGTAAGGAAGGAAGGAGGGAAGGAGAAGAAGACGACG